TCTATGTGCTAACTTACCAAGGAATGTGAATAGCCCCTGAAGCTGGAAAAGGGAAGGAAAGGGATTCTCTTCAAGAGCTTCCAGAAGGAATGCAGCCCTACTCACCCATTTGGTACTTCTGACCTCTGGATAAATAAATTTGGCCAGATGTAGTGGCTCACACCTGTAATTCCCAGCCTTGTGAGAGGCCAAGGCAGGTTGATTGCTTGAGCCTGGGAGTTCGAGACCAGCCTGCACAACATGGTGAAACACTGTCTCTACAAAAAATATGAAAATTAACCATGCGGGGTGGTGCGTTCCTGTAGTTCCAGCTACCAGGGAGGCTGAGGTGGGAGGATCATCTGAGCCCAGGAAGTTGAGGCTGCAGTGAGCCATGAGTGTGCCACTGCACTCCAGCCAGAGGAACAGAGTGAGACCCCATCTCAGTAATAATAATAATAATAATAATACATTTATGTTGTTTAAGCCTCTAAATTTGTGGTAATTTGATTCAGCAAATTACCACAGAATAGGAAAGGAATACATGGGGGGAATCAAGCTCAGTCTGTACCTGACAAAACTGTGAGGTCAGAAATGTATCATTTCAGTAACTGTCTTCTTGAACTTCTGACCTCAAGTGATACACCTGCCTCAGCCTCCCAAAGTGCTGGGATTACAGGCGTGAGCCACTGCACCCGGCCAGCAACTGTCTTCTTTAGCATACTTGTGCTTAAAAAAAAAAAAAAATTTGTGTTGAACACATTTTCACATTGATATTTTTTCCCGTGCGTGTGGACTACACTTTTAAGTTTTTAATTATGTTTAGGGTTAAGATTAGGGTTATGGTGGAATATTTTCGACGTATAGCGACTTTAAACTTTTATGTATTCAGATGTATTAATCTAACCCTTTGTGGTTTCTGCTTTTGGTGTTTTGCTTTGAAGGGTCTCATTCATGCCAAAAGCATATATATATTCACATAAATATTCACATACTTTTAGAGTACATACTTCACTGATTTAAAAATCACATCATTTGTCCAAAACAATGTTTTCTTATTCTAAAACTCTAAATTTGTTTTTGTTTCTGTTTTTTTGTTGGTCTTTTTAGAGATGAGGTCTCACTCCATCACCAGGCTGCTGGATTGCAGTGGCATAATCATAGATCATAGCTCAGTGCAGCCTCACTCCTGGGCTCAAGCCTTTTGCCACCACCTTCCAAGCGACTGGAACTGTAGGCATATGCCACCACACCGCGCTTAAATTTGTTTACTAGTAATATGAGAACTGTTTAAAAAAAAAAAAAAAACCTCAGGCCAGGTGCAGTGGCTCATGCCTGTAATCCCAGCACTTTGGGAGGCTGAGGCTGGTGAACTACCTGAGATCAGAGGTTTTGAGACCAGCCTGACCAACATGTCTGAAACCCTGTCTCTAAATAATAAAAATAAAAAATGAAAAAAAAAAAAAACTTCAGACAAGTTAAAATTTTCAGAATTTTTTTGAAGAAAGAGTGATTCATGAATAGGACAGCACTCAGACCCAGAAGAAGTTCAGGGAGTTTCACGTTGTGGGCAGGGAGTATTCACAGATAGAGAAAGGAAGTGAAATACTGAAACAGCTTGGTTGGTTACAGCTCAGTGTTTGCCTTTCTTGGACTTGGTTGGATCATTTTGCATCCTATGATTACCTAGAGCTCAGCAGCTGTGACTGATGGCCGAGACTCAGCTATTTATTTCAAGAATATACTCAAGCTTTCAATTTGTTTACATACCAGATTAGATTGTTGTTCAGTATTTATGGACTCGAGGTACACAGCAGCCTTACGCCAAATTTAATTTAGCAGAACTCTTTCTTTTTAAATGTATTTGCTTAAAGCTGCCTATTTTTGTGTAATTTATTAAGTATAACAAACTATTCCAACATTTAGTAGTTTGAAAAAACAACCATTTTATTACGTTTCATGATTTTGAGGGTCAGGAATTTAGAGCAAAGCTCTATTGAACAATTCTCTGCTCCAGGTGAAGTTGCTCGCGGTATTCAGCTGGTCTAATTTGTAGGCTGGTCTAATTAAGATGACTTAATTCACATGCCTCTGCCTTGACAGGCTTGGCTGTAAAGACATGCTCCATGCTCCTCTCCCTCTCCCGGTAGTCTCAAGGCCTCTCTACAGTAGGGTATTAGACTTCTTTTTCTTTTTTTCTTTTTTTTTTTTTTTGAGATGGAGTTTCACTCTTGTTGCCTAGGCTGGAGTGCAATGGCGCGATCTCGGCTCACCGCAACCTCCGCCTCCTGGGTTCAGGCAATTCTCCTGCCTCAGCCTCCTGAGTAGCTGGGATTACAGGCACGCACCACCATGCCCAGCTAATTTTTTGTATTTTTAGTAGAGACGGGGTTTCACCATGTTGACCAGGATGGTCTCGATCTCTTGACCTCGTGATCCACCCGCCTCGGCCTCCCAAAGTGCTGGGATTACAGGCTTGAGCCACCGCGCCCGGCCAAGACTAAAATATCTTATATAAAACAGTGCCTGGGGCTCTATTTAGGACTACTGACAAAATAAATGGGAATGATTTCCTTATAAAAGGATGAGTTTGGTCCTCTTGTCTCTCTCTCTCATCCTCTCCTTGCCCTTCCATCATGGGATATAACATCAAGAAAGCCCTTGCAAGATGCCAGCTCCTTGATCTTGGACTTCCCAGTCTCCAGAACTGTGAGGCAATAAGTTTATGTTCTTTATAAATTGCTCAGTTTGTGGTGTTCTGTTATAGCAGTGTAAAATGAATTAAGGCAACAAATAAAAGTTGCATATATTTGAGATGTATATTTGATTTTTTCTTTTTTGAAACAGGGTCTTACTCTGAAGCTGGAGTATGGTGGCACAATCATGGCTCACTGCAGCCTTGACCTCCTGGGCTGAAGGGGTCCTCTTGCCTCAGCCTCCCTTGTAGCTGAGACCATAGGCAAGAGCCAGCACGCCTGGCTAATTAGACAGCTTCCCCATGCATTTTTTTGTAGAGATGGGCAAGGAGGCCTCACTCTGTTGTCCAGGCTGGTCTTGAACTCCTGGGCTCAAGCTATCTGCCAGCTTTGGCCTCCCAAGGTGTTGGAATTACAGGTGTGAGCCACCCCGCCCAGCCATGTGATGTTTTGATGTATGTATACATTGTGAGATGATTACTGTAATCAAGTCAGTTAACATATCCATAACCTCACACTTTGCATGTGTGTGTTTGAGATCTACTTTCTCAGCAAATTTCTGAGTTTTTAAAAATTTAATTTTATTTTAAGTTAAGTGGGCGTATGTGCCAGTTTGTTATACAGGTAAATTTGTGTTGTGAGGTTTGTTTTACAGGTTATTTCATTACCCAGGTATTAAACCCAGTGCCCATTAGTTATTTTTGCTTATTCTCTTCCTCCTTGCATCCTTACCCTCTGATAGGCCCCAGTGTGTGTTGTTCCCCTCCATGGGTCCATGTGTTCTCATCATTCAGCTCTCATTTATAAGTGAGCACATCTGGTATTTGGTTTTCTGTTCTTGTGCAAATTTCAAGCATACAATACATTACTATGAACTATAAAATCAACATGCTGTACATTAGGTCTCCAGAACTTACTCAACTTATAACTGAAAGTTTGTGCGCTTTGACCAATATCTTCCCATTTCCCCCACTTCCCAAGTCCTGGCAATCACGTTTCTACTCTCTGTTTCTATGAGAAACTTCTAGATTCCACCTATAAGTGAGATTATGCAGTATTTTTGTGTGCGTGTGTCTGGCTTATTTCACTTAGCATAATGTCCTCCAGGTTCATCCACGTTGTTAAATCTATGCCAGTTGCAAACAGCAAGATTTCTTTCTTTTTTAAAAGCTGAATAATATTCCAGTGTATGTATGTATGTGTGTGTGTGTGTGTGCATATATATTTGCATTCATTATTCATTCATCCATTTATGAAAAGTAGACTATCCCTATATCTTCGGTATTGTAAATAATGCTGCAATGAACATGGGAGTGCAGATATATCTTCAGGATACTGGTTTTGTTGCTAGATCACATGGTAATTCTATTATTAATTTTGTGAGAAGCCTTCATACTGTTTTGCACAATGGCTGTACTAATTTACATTCCCATCAACAGCATACAAAAAAATCCCTTTTCTCCACATTCTTGCAAACGCTTTCATATTTTGGGCTATTCTGTATGGTTTACTGTACCATGTGACAGTAATGCTGTGCAGCTATGTGCTATAGACATTTTTGCACCTACTGTTACCAGTTCTGAAATAGCAACAGCTCCCTTTCTGTTTAGAGTCGCCTCCTGCTGGTAGGAATTCTGGTTGCTATGATGTGTAGCCTGCAAGCCTCTAACAGCTCTTTGCAGCGACACCAAACGCCGGGCGCGGTGGCGCGTGCCTGTAGTCCCAGCTACTCGGGAGGCTGAGGCTGGAGAATCCCTTGAGTTCAGGAGTTCTGGGCTGTAGTGCGCTATACCGATCGGGTGTCCGCACTAAGTTCGGCATCAATATGGTGACCTCCCGGGAGCGGGGGACCACCAGGTTGCCTAAGGAGGGGTGAACCGGCCCAGGTCGGAAACGGAGCAGGTTAAAACTCCCGTGCTGATCAGTAGTGGGATTGCGCCTGTGAATAGCCACTGCACTCCAGCCTGGGCAACACAGTGAGACCCTGCCTCTTTTGAGTTCTTACCTTATAAAGTATCCTTTCTTCCCAGGCATCTATCCTAAGACAAAAGAAATGCAGAGTTTACACTCTTACAGGACTGTTGTCCTCGCTACACTGTGAATCCCCTCTCCCACCCCAACCCCTGTTGGGAATCTTGTCTTATTTTTATTTTGTTTCACCATTATCTAGCTAAATACTTGCATATTCATGTTGCCAAGTATTTATGGAGCACCGATTGTATACCAGGAACTGCGCTGAGTCTCAGGGGTACCAAGAAAGGTTCGATGAGAATCCTGTAATCAACTGCAGAATGCTCCTTCGGAGAGCCGGTCCCATCAAAATAGGAACTCCGTTTTGAGAGTTCGCCTTCATCGCTGAGGATAAACTTAGAAGGACAGAAGCAGTTCTGTTTCGTTACATATCAAAATCTTATGTCAAAGTATGCGCGCAGGAAGGGGTCCTGAGCCCTGCAGTCCCCCACCGTGGGGAAATACTCCTGGTAATCTCCTCGAAAATTGTTTCGACCAGCAGGGGTCACTATGAAGGCTGGCTTGAACCCAAAACACCACGGGCCAAAACATCCAAACCAGACAGCTCCGTAAGGGTTCAAGGAAGGAGTGCAGTTTCAAGAGGACAGTTTGGATCTTAATTAGAATTGTTTTGGTACAATGAAGAGAGTCAACTGTAACTTGACAATCGACGTCTTCAGAAACGCGAAATACGTTCGCCTCAAGGAATATTGGGTCTTCTGCGCGGCCGTAGATCTCCGCCAAGTGCGCCTGCGCGGAAGAGAAGAGGCGTCGAGTCCGGCAGGCAGTGGAGAGAACTGCGGTAGTGACCCTCGGACCTAAGCATGAAGACGCGGTTTAGCACCATTGACCTCCGCGCGGTACTGGCGGAGCTGAACGCTAGGTACAGTTCCTAAGTGACCAGGCTCGTGCGGGGAGTGCAGGAGGCTGAGGCCGGGGGGGCCCATGGCGCCCACAGCCCAGCTTGATGTGTTTCCTTACTTTATATGCTTCTGTGGACCTGATTAGGCCTGAGTGGGTAGGCGTGTGGTGTCTTTCCTGTGGCCCTCAGGATACCCTAGGGGGTCCCAGGCACCTCATGCCCCACTCCCCGCGTCCTTGCAGCTCTCTGGCTTGCCCCGCTAGCGCGACGCTCTTGCATTGTTGGCCTGGGTTGCCGGGATCCGGCAGGAAACGTTTCGTAAAACACTAGACGTCAGAATGGTCATTTGCTCCAGAGGTTTCCAGATTGGAGGCTTGGTTTCTTGAACACTCCCCGCCCCTCATCCCAGAAAGAGAGAGCTTCGCCGTTTTAGTTGGATTGAGCAGATTTGGACTGAGGTCTGGATTCTAGTCTGGTTTCTATCATTTAGCGCTGTGAGCTTTGCCATGTTTTCGAGGGCCGTCTTTTATCTTTTGGTTTTTTCCCTGTCTTGTAATAAATTAATTGGATTATATTTTACTGTATTTCTTCCCCCAGATTGGGTCATTTTGAAAACGCAAGCTTTGTTCCTAGAGCTGATAGACCGCTTTTGTTTTAAAATCGTTGCTCTTAAGTTTTGAGCTGAATGCCCAAATGGCTTTTGGACTCTGCTCCCCGGCTGACTACCATATCCTTAGAGACTAAGATGAGCTGTTTCAAAGCTTTCATTAAAATGTGTATAGTTTTATGTTTCAAACAATTGTGTGATATGTTACATGTTTCCTTTGTCTCTGCAGCTTGCTAGGAATGAGAGTAAACAATGTTTATGATGTGGATAATAAGACATACCTTATTCGTCTTCAAAAGTAAGAACATTTTATAGGCTTATTTTCTCTTTGGTAATTAAATATGAGATTACTCATTTTTTTAAAACTGCATTTTAAGTCTGTTTCACAGTTAGGTTTGGCATATGCCCTAAAGAAAAATTTGACTTTTTTCTTCTACAGACCAGACTTTAAAGCTACACTTTTACTTGAATCTGGCATACGAATTCATACGACAGAATTTGAGTGGCCTAAGAATATGATGCCGTCTAGTTTTGCCATGAAGGTAAACTTGTTATACTAAATTTTAAGAGATTGCTGACTAACAAGTTTTTAATTGGGGTTTCCTTCACTGTTATGAATAAAGTGAAGATAAAATAAAGGTAAAGGAAGCAATCGACAGATGATGGGTTGAATAATTTGAATATTTATTAATTGACTTCTCCCCATTACCTTTCACATCCTGTTCTACCCCAGATCTTCTGTTTTCACAGTTGATATTAGAGTTCAAGTTTTTATCAGTTCAACCTTACAGCCCCTTAACTGTAGTCCACTTCTTCGAATCAAAACAATTCTAAATTAGACCAACATTAATTTTTTGTTTATTTGTTTGTTTTTGTTTCTTCTTTTGAGATGGCGTCTCGCTGTCTCCCAGGCTGCTATGTGGTGGCAAATCTCGGCTCATACGACCTCTGCCTCCCAGGTGCTAGTGATTCTCCTGTCTCAGCCTCTTGAGTAACTGGGATAACAGGTGTGTTCCACCACACCCAGCTGATTTTTGTAATTTTAGCAGAGACCGTATTCACCGTGTTGGCCATGCTCCTCTCAAACTCCTGACCTCAGGTGATTCTCCCTGCTTGGTTTCCCAAAGTGCTGGGATTACAGGCATTAGCCAACGCACCTGGCTCAACATTAATTTTTTTTTTTTTTAAACATCATTTTCATTAGTTATCTCACCTTTTATGGTTCCCTAATTTCTAAATCCATATTCTATAGCCTGACATTCTTGGCTTTCTGTGTTCTTTCTCCTCCCTCCCCCACCTTTTTTCCTAGTCTTGTCTTTCAGAACTCACTTTTGTGAATCGTCTTTCTCTACCCAGTCAAAATTTTTTGGGAATACTCAGTGGCATTAATATGTTACTAAGTCTTCTTACTTTTATCTTTTGTTTTTACTATTAAAACAGATTTTTGTTACCCATTCTTTTATTGATGTAATGTATAGATTGAAAATTCATGTGGTACACAGACTTTCCTATCAGATATACTTAACTTCGAATTAATAGCTTTACCAGAGAGTAATTTTATAACCTGGAAAAGTTATTTAACCTCTTGGAACTTGGTTTTTTTAAATATAAAATGCAGATCGTACCTCCCTCATGAAATTACTGGATTAATAGAAATGAGATATAGAGCACATAAAACAGGCCGGGCACAGTGGCTCACGTCTGTAATCCCAACACTTTGGGAGGACCAGGCGGGTGGATCACTTGAGGTCAGGAGTTCAAGACCAGCCCAGCCAACAGGGTGAAACCCTGTCTCTATAAAAATACAAAATTAGCCAGGGGTGGTGGCACATGCCTGTAATCCCTGCTACTTGGGAGGCTGGGGCAAGAGACTCGCTTGAACCCAGGAGATGGAGGTTACAGTGAGCAGAGATCGTGCTATTGCACTCCAGCCTGGGCAACAGAGTGAGACTCCGTCTCAAAAAAATAAAAAATAAAGCACCTAAAAGAATACCTGAAACATAATAGAATTCTACACGTGTTCATTTCCTTCTTCCTCTGCTCCTCACTTTCCTTTGGAAATGTATTTGTTATGGCATTATTTCATTCGAGGCTTTACAGAGAAGAGCTTTACCCTCCAGCAATTTAGAATCTGTTTTAGATTACAAATTATGGTGATATGGTTCCCGTATCACAAGGGCTTTCACAAAATTATCAGATTATTAAAGTTTATTTAATAGTTACCCAAAATGGTTCTTTTGGAGCCTATCCTTAATAGTAATGACAATACTACACTTTGTCTAGCAATTTTTTTTTTTTTTTTGAGATAGCGTCTTGCCCTGTCACCTAGGTTGGTGAGCAGTGGTGTGATCTTGGCTCACTACAACCTCTGCATCCCAGGTTCAGGCGATTCTCTTGCCTCAGCCTCCCCAGTAGCTGGGATTACAGGTGTGTGCCACCACGCCCGGCTAATTTTTGTGTTTTTAGTAGAGGGGGGGTTTCACCATATTGACCAGGTTGATCTTGAACTCCTGACCTCAAGTGATCTACCCATCTTGGCCTCCCAAAGTGCTGGGATTACAGGTGTGAGCCACTGTGCCTGGCCCCATGTGTAGCACTTTTTAAAGCAAATAAATAATATGTATTCCATTTAAGTTGTTTAACAGCTCAGTGGAATGTGATGAACAAATATAATTTCAGTTTCTGGATGAAGTAACAGGCCAATGAGATATGACACTGGGATTGTGTAAACATCTCCAAATCAGGCTACACTAATAGGAGGTCAGTCAGTCTTAAAAATACTTAGAATTCTATGGGTTAGGTGTACATGTCAATCTAAATGTATAGAAAAATTTCCTGCATGGAACAGTGTTAAGCACTTTATAAATAAAACAAAGCGCTGTTACTGTTGTATGGCATAGGCAGAGTTATGCCCATTATGTGATAAATCACAGTGATCTAGTATTCACATTTGGGGATGACAACTATAGCTTTGTGGCACACAGCAGAAGGTTGTTGTCACCAAGCTGTTGATAGGGAAATAAAACAAGCTTTAAATGTGTACTATATGTCCATCTGCACTCTACATGTTAAATAATTCCCTTTTTACTCTTCCTTGATGTGAACTTATGTCCTCTCAAGGATGCCTTTTATCTTCACTTTATTTTTCTTGATTAAAATTACTGGGGGACTCTGGAAGAACTGATTGTGATTTTCCTTTAGGGATTTGAAGATTGCTCTACATATAGATTACTGTTTAATCATATCAATCATTTGTGTGTGTTTTTGTTTTTTTTTTTGGCGGGGACAAAGTCTTGCTCTGTAGTCCAGGCTGGTGTGCAGTGGTGCAATCTAGGCTCACAGCAACCTCCACTTCCTGGGTCCTGGTTCAAGCAATCTCCAAGTAGCTGGGATTACAGGAACACGCCACCATGCCCAGCTAAATTTTTTATTTTTAGTAGAGGTGGTGTTTCACTATGTTGGCCAGGCTGATCTTGAACTCCTGACCTCGTGATCTGCTTGCCTTGGCCTCCCAGAGTGCTGGGATTACAGGCGTGAGCCACTGCACCCAGCCCAATATAGGTCATTCTTAAAATTAGTGAGTTAAGGAGGGGCAGATTATTTTTTCTAGGAAGTTGTTCTGCCTAAATATATGAGTACATAAAATGAGAATTTTTAAGTTCTGGAGAAGAACTCTTTTTAGTTATGAAGAGGTTTGTTTCTTGTTGGTTTGATTTTTTTTTTTTTTTCCCTTTGTCAAGAAGTGGATTCTTTTGTCTTTTTTTTTTTTTTTTTTTTGGGACAGAATTTTGCTTTTGTTGCCCAGGCTGGATTGCAATGGTGTGATCTTGGCTCACATCAACCTCTGCCTCCTGGGTGCGAGTGGTTCTCCTGCCTCAGCCTCCCTATGCCACCATGCCTGGTTGATTTTGTATTTTTAGTAGAGGCATGGTTTCTCCTTGTTGGTCACACTGGTTGCCTTGGCCTCCCAAAGTGTTGGGATTATAGGCGTAAGCCTTTTTTTTTTTTCCCAAAGGTGGTTTTAGATTAACTTCCCTGTAAAATTTGTCTTGTATTTGAGTCTTGAATAAAGCATTCTTTCTTATTGGTCTTGACTAAGGGGTCTTTTGTATCAAAAAGTTAGAAACAATTATAAGATATTTTAGAGGCTACAAGGTAGTCTTATTACCAGTCCAAGCTGTACTTAAATATTTGTACAAAAAGACAGTTCCTGTAATCTAAAAGAATAGGTAATGGCCAAATAAATTGTATTTGGGTTTGACATGCTAATGTTATCTTAATTGTTAATAAGAAAAAGAACCTTATGGCCAGGGATAGGAGGAAGAGGATTTAATAAAGAATGAGAGTTAATCCCATTAGATTTGAAATAGGTTAATCAAAAGCTTAGAGATGATATCACGAAAATTCTATTTGGGTTATATTAAAAAAGTCTGTAGGAATAAGCTGGGCACAGTGGCAGGCACCTGTAGTCTAGCCACTTGGGAGGCTAAGTTGGGAGGATTGCTTGAGTCAAGGAGTTTGAGCCCTGCCTGGGCAACAGAGTGAGACTCTGACTGTCTTTTTTTTTTTTGAGACAGTCTCGCTCTGTCGCCCAGGCTGGAGTTCAATGGCGAGATCTCAGCTCACTGCAACCTCTACGTTCTGGGTTCAAGCGATTCTTATGCGCCAGCCTCCCCAGTGGCTGGGATTACAGACACGTGCCAGCATGCCCAACTAATTTTTGTATTTTTAGTAGAGATGGGGTTTTACCATATTGGCCACACTGGTCTTGAACTCCTGACCTCAAGTGATCCACCTACCTTGGCCTCCCAAAGTGCCAGGATTATAGTGTGAGCCACCATGCCCAGGCAAGACTATCTCTTAAAAAAAAAAAAAAAATTTGTAGGGGTAACTGTATGTAAGGTAGTGGACTAATTTACAAGATACCATAAGCATATGGTTCATAGTTGATATATATTGGAAGTAGAAGATTATTGGAAACAATTAATTTTGAACATAAATGAAGCACATAAAAGGGAAATTTGGCATACTTAGAAGTATCATAAAAGAGGCGTTAAAAAAATTAAGGTTATGGCTTTGAGTGAGGTCATTAGGACAACAACAAGGGATTTAGCAGTGTTATAAAGCAACAAAGCAAATATTGCTATAGGTCCATCATTCTCTGCTTAAAAATGAAAAATAAAGGCCTGGCTCAGTGGCTTATACTTATAATCCCAGCACTTTGGGAGGCCAAGGCAGGATGATTGCTTGTGCCCAGGAGTTTGAGATTAGCCTGGGCAACATAGTGAGACCTTATCTCTACAAATAATGAAAAAATTAGCTGGGCATAGTGCCATGTATGTGCCTGTGGTCCCAGCTTCTCAGGAGGCTGATGTAGGAGGATCCCTGAGTCAATGAAGTCGAGGCTGCAGTGAGCCGTGATCACAGCACTGTGCTCCAGTTTGGGTGACAGAGTAAGACCCTCTTTTTTTTTTTTTTTTTTTTTTTTTTTTGAGATGGACTTTTGCTCTTGTTGCTCAGGCTGGAGTGCAATGGCACGATCTTGGCCCATCGCAACCTCCACCTCCCAGGTTCAGGTGATTCTTCTGCCTCGGCCTCCTGTGTACCACTACGCCCAGCTAATTTTGTATTTTTAGTAGAGACAGGGTTTCTCCATGTTGATCAGGCTGATCTGGAGATTACAGGTGTGAGCCATCGCACCCAGCCGAGACCCCGTCTTAAAAAAATGAAAATAAAACATTGTTTTAGAATTAACAGTGTTTACAATAAAATATTTTTCCTCTGATTATCATCTGCAGTCTTTTACTTTATGATTTTGCTGTTATTTATGACCTTTTAAGTACTCCTGATGGTAATGAAAAGAAGCTTATTTATAAACCAATAGCAAATGGTTAGGAATTCACTTTTACTGAATGAATGCCTTTTTCTTTCTCTTGCTAGTGCCGAAAACATTTGAAGAGTCGGAGATTAGTCAGTGCGAAACAACTTGGTGTGGATAGAATTGTAGATTTTCAATTTGGAAGTGATGAAGCTGCTTATCATTTAATCATTGAGCTGTATGATAGGGTAAGTTAAATTTGTGGGATGAGGTGAAGTAAAATTCATCATTAATCATTTTTGAAATAGTGCTATGTAACATGAGTGGGGAACATTTTTTTCTGTGTCAAAGTCTGTTACTACCTTAGGAAATGGATGTCACACAAATAAAACTTTTCATTAATAACCTTCATTTTATCTGTAGGCCTGAGTTTAGGCAGACTTTAGCTATTTAGAATAGCCTTATGAATGTAGGAGACGAAGATCTCAGAAGTGAAGAAATTATTTGGTACTTTACATTTCAGGACTAATATCATGCAACCAGAAAATAGGGAAATATAGTCATGCACTGATGCGCCATATAATGATATTTCAGTCAACAACAGACTGCATATAAACATTGGTCCTAGGCTGGACGTGGTGGTTCACACCTGTAATCCCAGCACTGTGGGAGGTGGAGGCAGATGGATCATGAGGTCGAGAGATTGAGACCATCCTGGCCAACATGGTGAAACCCTACCTTTACTAAAAATACAAAAATTAGCTGGGCATAGTAGTGCGCACCTGTAGTCCCAGCTACTTGGGAGGCTGAGGCAGGAGAATCACTTGAACCTGGAAGGTGGAGGTTGCAGTGAGCCAATATCGCACCACTGCCCTCCAGCCTGGTGACACAGCGAGACTCCGTCTCAAAAAGAAAAAAGTTGGTCCTGTAAGATTGTAATGGATCTAAAAATTCGTATTGCTTAGTGACATCTTGATCCTGACTGCGTAGACCTAGACTGGTGTGTGTGTTTGTGTATTAGTTTTTAACAAAAACATTAAAAGTAAAAATAAAACATTTGAAATTGAAAAAAACTTAAGAGAATAAGGATATAAAGAAATAAAATATTGTACAGCTGTACAATATGTTTGTGTTTTAAGCTAATCGTTATTACAGGAGTTGAAAAGTTTAAAAAAGTTTATAAAGTAAAAATGTTCCAGTAAGCTAAGGTTAATTTATTATTGAAGAAAGAAAAACATCTTAAAAATAAATTTCGTTGGGTGCAGTGGCTCACCCCTGTAATTCTAGCACTTTGAAAGGCTGAGGTGACCAGATCACCTGAGGTCAGGAGTTGAAGACCAGCCTGCCCAACATGGCAAAACCCTGCTTCTACTAAAAAGTACAAAAATTAGCCAGGTGTGGTAGCAGGCAGCTGTAGTCCCAGCTACTCGGGAGGCTGAGGCAGGAGAATCACTTGAACCTGGAAGATGGAGGTTGGAGTGAGCCACGATCATGCCACTGTCCTCCAGCCTGGTGACAGTGCCAGGCTCCATCTCGAATGAATGAATGAATGAATGAATGAGTCAGTCTGGTCTGGGCACAGTGGCTTATGCCTATAATCCTAGCACTTTGGAAGGCCAAGGCAGGTGGATCACCTGAGGTCAGGAGTTTGACATCAGCCTGGCCAACATGGCAAAACTCAGTCTATTAAAAATACCAAAATTAGCCTGGTGTGGTGGCGCACGCCTGTAGTTTCAGCTACTCGGGAGGCTGAGGCAGGAGAATCACTTGAACCTGGGAGGTGGAGGTTGCAGTGAGCCAAGATCATGCCAGTGCACTCTAGGCTGGGCAACAGAACAAGACTCCATCTCAAAAAAAAAAAAAATATTTTCTGTAGTGCCAGGTATATTTTGGCATTTAAGCAAATGTGTATGGGGAGGAGAAGGAGAGAACTGCGTTGGGATGCTCTAGAGAGTTATATCTCTCCTTTTTTTTTTTTTTTTTTGGAGACAGGGTCTTGCTGTGTCACTCAGATTGGAGTACATTGCTGCAATCTTGGTTCACTGCAACCTCTGCCTTCCAGATTCAAGCGATTCTCGTGCCTCAGCCACCCAAGTAGCTGGGACTACAGGCATGAGCCACCACGCCTAATTTTTGTACTTTTAGTAGAAACAGGGTTGCACCATGTTGGCCAGGCTGATGAACTTCTGGCCTCAAGTGATCCGCCTACCTTGGTCTCCCAAAGTGCTGGGATTACAAGTGTGAGGTACCCCACCCAGCCACCATCTCTTATTCTTTATGGAGGGCTATACTGTTTCTAGCTTCTAAGGCATGATTGCTCTTCAGATGTTTTTTGCTTAGTCCATGCAGGATCTTAAGAAGCCATGAAGAATTGTCTTCCAGCAGTTATTCCTTTATTTATGATGGAGGTAAACCGAATGCCACACCTTAGCTGGGAAAGAATAGGAATTACCTTGAATTTCTGAAAAGTTTTAAGTAGTTAAAATCCCACAGCCTTGCGCATATATAGAAGAAGTGGAACTGATACAGAAAGGTGATAATTAAGCTAATTTTGACTTAAGATTCAGCTTCTTCATCCTTATTTTTCTCATCATCATCATTTTCTCTTTTTCTCCACCCCCCCCGCCCCGTAAACCTTTTTCTGGCATTAAATCATCAAAAAAAATTTTTTTTGGCAATGTACATACAAGGAACCGGTTTTTGTTTCTTATGGAATTTGAAATGAATTACGGTCAATCGGTGTGCTGATTGTAGGACCAAATGGCTAGTTACTAGACAAACAATTCTGAAACCTTAAACATAAGCATTTCCCTGTTGATACTGGCTCCCCCTCAAAGGAGCTTTTTGTGATGACCTGGATGTGTGACAGGTACAGTAGAAACAGTTGCTGCTGATCCTTATACTCCTCTTTAGTTTTCTGTGCACTTCTCTTTGTCAGTGATTCCTTTTACAATCTTTTTTTTTTTTTTTTTTTTTTGAGATGGAGTTTTGCTCTTTTGCCCAGGTTGGAGTGCAGTGGTACGATCTTGGCTCACAGCAACCTCCACCTCCCAGATGCAAGCGATTCTCCTGCCTCAACCTCCTTAGTAGGTGGTGCTACAGGCACACACCACCATGGCTAGCTAACTTATGTATTTTTAGTAGAGATGAGGTTTCACCATGTTGGCCAGGATGGTCTCGATCTCTTGACCTCATGATCTGTCCACCTCAGCCTCCCAAAATGCTGGGATTACAGGCGTGAGCCACCAGTCCCAGCCAGTTTTTCTTTTTAATTGTAGGGTACCCATTAAAATTTTTAAACTTTTTATTTTTGAAATGATTATAGACTAGTAGGAAGTTATACAGATAGTACAGAGAAGTCTGATGTACCATCACATTTTACGTATAGTATAATATAAAAATAAGGAGATTGGTAGCTAACAGTTTACCACATGTGTAGATTTATATAGCCACCCTTGCAATCAAGATAAAGTTCTTCCATTACCACAAAATCTACAGAATTTAACTAACGTAAGCAGCTTTTTTATTTAGAAATAATTTTAGATTTACGGAAACGTTACAAAAAGGCTGGGCATGGTGGCTCATGCCTGTAATCCTAGCACTTTGGGAGGCCAAGATGGGATGATGGGCTGAGGCCAGGAGTTCAAGACCAAACTGGCCAACATAGCAAGACCCCATCTCTTAAAAAAAAAAATTAAAAATTAGCCAGGTGGGGTGGCTCACGCCTCTAATCCCAGCACTCTGGGAGGCTGAGATAGGTGGATCACCTCAGGTTAGGAGTTCGAGATGAACCTGACCAACATGGAGAAACCCTGTCTCTACTAAAAATACAAAATTAGCTGGGTTTGGTGACATATGCCTTTAATCCCAGCTACTTGGGAGGCTGAGGCAGGAGAATCGCCTGAACCTAGGAGACAGAGGTTGCGGTGAACCAACATTGTGCCATTGCACTCCAGACTGGGCAACAAGAGCAAAAACTCTGTCTCAAAAAAAAAGAAAAAGAATGAAAAGTTACAAAGATAACACTCTTAATTGAACAACAGACTTTATTCAGATTTCACTACTGTTTCCATTCCCATCATTTTTCTGTTGCAAGATAGCCCATTACATTTAGGGCCTTTTCATTTGAGCACTCTGAAAAGTAGGCATGCATATTGTCTACTGTCTAGGTTCCAGAGGTCCAGTCGACCATGAGTTTAGAGTAGATATTAAGAATTTTTTTGTTTTCTTTTTTTTAAAATTTATTATTGTTGTTCCTAGGGAATGCTGAGAGGTTTTAAGGATTTATATATGATAGAAAGTGTGCTTGAGAGTTTAAAGTAGTCATTGTGATAATCTGCAAGAGGCAGGTTGGTTGGCGCTTTGACCTTGAAGATTGCTCTTTCCTTTCTGTATACCAGGGATGGATCTTTGATGTATGGTCTAGAGTTGATCAGACCTGGGAAAAAGAACTGTATTTCTACTCAAACTTGTTTAAGAAAGTAGGTTTACTAATTTTTTTTTTTTTTTTTTTTTTTGAGACGGAGTCTCACACTGTTGCCAGGGCTGGAGTATAATGGCGTGAATTTTGGCTCACTGCAACTTCTACCTCCCAGGTTCATGTGATTCCTCTGCCTCAGCCTCTAGAGTAGCTGGGATTACAGGTGCACACCACCATACCCAGCTAATTTTTTTTTTTTAAAGACTGGGTTTCACCATGTTGGTCAGGCTGGTCTTGAACTCCCGACCTCTGGTGATCCACCCGCCTTGGCCTCCAAAGTGCTTGGATTACAGGCGTGCGCCGCCACGCCCGGCCTAACCCAGCTAATTTTTTGTATTTTTAGTAGAGATGGGGCTTCACTATGTTGGCCAGACTGGTCTTGAACTCCTGACCTTGTGATCCGCCCGCCTTGGCATCCCAAAGTGCTGGGATTATAGGCATGAGTCACCCTGCTTGGCCTGTTTATTAATTTATAATAAGGACTCTGAGGAACGTAAGTTAAGATTAGAAAACAGCTTATTGAGTACATCAGGATCAAGTGCAATATTTCCCAAAGTATTTTCCTTGAATAATGTTTGCATAAGATAATCAGTGTGCCTAGAAAAATGGGTTCCATAGTTGTAAAAGTTTGAGAAACCCTGAGAATAAAGTAAGATTAAAAAACTTTTGTTTTGTTTTTTTGAGACAGAGTCTCGCTTTGTCACCCAGGCTGGAGTGCAGTGGCGTGATCTCAGCTCACTGCAACCTCCACCTCCCAGGTTCAAGTGATTCTCCTGCCTCAGTCTCAGCTTCCTGAGTAGCTAGGATTACTGGTGCATGCTACCACACCTGGCTAATTTTTTGTATTTTTTAGTAGAGACAGGGTTTCACCGTGTTAGCCAGGATGGTCTTGATCTCCTGACCTCATGATCCGCCCACATCAGCCTCCCAAAGTGCTGGGATTATAGCCGTGAGCCACTGCGCCTGGCCAAAAAAAAAAATTAACTGTAGGAATTATCAATGCCTTTAATATGGTAATGTTATGTTTACCTTTTCTGGAGAAGGAAATGTTACGTAGAATTTCCAAAACTTAATTGACTACAGAATTCTTTTTTTCTAGTGGGGGTAAGAGGACCGGTCTTTCGTAATGCTTTTGGGAAACTGGTTTAAGGAAAGTCCTTTCTGGGAAATACTGTCTCCTATGTATTCCTAATAACTGTACAGTTTGATTCAATAAATAAAGCATTTTGTATGTACCAGGATCTGCCGCCAGGTCTATTTTTCATGTCTTCCTGAACTGGATACTATCCAGACTTCTTTGCAACCCCTTACTTACCTTTTTCATTATCTCTCTGTTTTTTTTTTCCCATTTTTTTCTTTTTTTCCTCTGCTGACAAGAATATGAATCTGTTCTTTAAATTAAAAATAAATGTTTAACATTTAAATATATGGTGGCTTTGAAGTCAGAACCTTTAGCCATAGGTACTAGTTTTCCTTTTCTTTCTTTTTTTTTTTAAATTGAGATGGAATTTTGCTCTTGTCACCCAGGCTGAAGTGCAATGGTACAATCTCGGCTCACTGCAACCTCTGCCTTCTGGGTTCAAGCTATTCTCCTGCCTCCGCCTCCTGAGTGGCTGGGATTACAGGTGCCCACCACCATGCCCAGCTAATTTTTGTACTTTTAGTAAGACAGGGTTTCACCGCATTGGCCAGGCTGGTCTGGAACTCCCGACCTCAGATGACCTGTGTGCCTTGATTTCCCAAAGTGCTGGGATTACAGGCATGAGCCATTGCGCCTGGCCTGGTACTAGTTTTTCAACACTTAGAAATTTCTGGTTATCTATCTCTCTAATCAAGATAAATGGTGGCTACATTTACTGAAGCCACTTATGTTGCAACCTGTCATTTCACATGAGATTGGGATTACACCCACTGTGTTCCATGACTATCTTGTAAGCAGTTGTAAGGCATTTTTGACTATTTTCATGGATGCTTCTTTGTATTTTAATTATACCTGTATGGTAATCCTATCTTCACTGTCTGTAGTAAATTTGGAAGGTGGTATTTTTTGGTTTTATTTTCAGTATGTTTCCCCTTTTTTATTGAAAAGGTTACCTAACAACATTAAATTTTAAAAGGCTTTAATTGTAAATATTTAATAAGTAATTTCACTTTAGCCTACATATGCCTTCCATTTTCTAGGATACAACTTTTTTGTGTATCTTGCCATGCTTTACTTAACATTATAAATATTTTCCTTTTTTTCCCATAGTCTCCATTAGTTAACTTCTTTTTTACTCTTTTTGTTGTGTTGATCTATCATAATTTAATTTCCCTAATTTTCATATTTAGGCTGTTTTCTTTTTTTAATTTTACTATGTAAATAAAATTCAGTGAACATCTTTAAGCATGTTGCCTTTGGTTTTTTTTTTTGGGACGGAGTTTCGCTCTTGTTACCCAGGCTGGAGTGCAATGGCGCGATCTCGGCTCACCGCAACCTCCGCCTCCTGGGTTCAGGCAATTCTCCTGCCTCAGCCTCCTGAGTAGCTGGGATTACAGGCACGCGCCACCATGCCCAGCTAATTTTTTGTATTTTTAGTAGAGACGGGGTTTCACCATGTTGACCAGGATGGTCTCGATCTCTTGACCTCGTGATCCACCCGCCTCGGCCTCCCAAAGTGCTGGGATTACAGGCTTGAGCCACCGCGCCCGGCTTGCCTTTGGTTTTATTGGAATATTGGAGTTACTTCATCGAGCTACATTACCAAATGTGGAAATGCTTGGGCAAACGGTAACTAACTGTATTGCTCATGCCATGTAACTATTGTTATTAAAAGACAAATTGCAGATGAAAGTGTAATATAATATCACCTTGCCTGGCTGGCTACTGAAATTGACTACATTTTCTTTCTAAATTTTTAGGTAGTTCCAAAAATGATTTGTTTTTTTCTGTTTTTTTGTTTGTTTGCTTTTTGTTTTTGAGACAGAGTCTTGCTCTGTTGCCCAAGCTAGAATGCAGTATCACTATATTGGCTCACTGTAAACTCCACCTCCTGGGTTCAAGTGATTCTTCTGCATCAGCCTCAGTAGCTAGGACTACAGGCATGCGCCACCACGCCTGGCTAATATTTGTATTTTTAGTAGAGATGGGGTTTCAACATATTGGCCAGGCTGGTCTCGAATTCCTGATCTTGTGATCTGCCCACCTCGGCCTCCCAAAGTGCTGGGATTACCGGTGTGAGCCACTGCACCCAGCTATTTTGTTTTTTTGTTTGCCTTTTTAATTTATTTTATTTTTTTTTTGAAACAGCATTTGCTCTTTTTGCCCAGGCTGGAGTGCAGTGGTCTGATCTCAGCTCACTGAAACCTCCACCTCTTGGGTTCAAGTGATTCTCCTGCCTCAGCTTCCCAAGTAGCTGTGATTGTAGGCGCCTGCTACCACACCCGGCTAGTTATTGTATTTTTGTAATTTTTGCATTTCACCATGTTGGCCAGGCTGGTTTTGAAGTCCTAACCTCAGGTGATCTGCTCGCCTCGACCTTCCAAAATGCTGGGATTACAGTTGTAAGCTACTGCATCTCGCCTCAAAAATGATTTGAAAAAGCACTAAATTGTATCTTATTCTATTGCAGGGGAACATTGTTCTTACAGATTATGAGTACGTAATTTTAAATATTCTAAGGTTTCGAACTGATGAGGCAGATGATGTTAAATTTGCTGTTCGTGAACACTATCCACTTGATCATGCTAGAGCTGCTGAACCTTTGCTTACTTTGGAAAGGTAAAGTGTTTTGTTTTTAAATCCATTTCACATTGTATTAAATTGTACTGGGCAACATAATGAGACCCTGTCTCTTAAAAAAAAAGGTGAAATAGTCATATGTTAGAATATGAAAGAACTGTGAGATAAAATATTTTGTTTCACAGCCGGGCTCAATGGCTCATGCCTGTAATCCCAGTATTTTGGGAGGCCGAGGTGGGCAGATCACTTGAGGTCAGCAGTTCGAGACTAGCGTCGCCAACAAGATGAAACCCCATCTCTACTGAAAGTACAAAAATTAGCCAGGTGTGGTGGCAGTCACCTGTAATCCCTGCTACTTGGGAGGCTGAGGCAGGAGAATTGCTTGAACCTAGGAGTGGAGGTTGCAGTGAGCCGAGATCACACCACTGTACTCTAGCCTGGGTGACAGAGTAAGACTCTCACTCAAAAAAAAAATTCTGTTTTATTTAGATAACATAACTAAATTTAGACTGCTTGACCTACATAAATGTGCCTGTAAGCAATTAAGCCTTATTTGGGAGTGGCAAATGTATGAATTTATTTTTGTTTGTTTGTTTGTTTGTTCATTTTTGAAACTGAGTGTCGCTCCGTTGCCCAGGCTGGAGTGCAGTGGCGTGATCTCGGCTCACTGCAACCCCTGCCTCCTGGGTTCAAGTGATTGTCCTGCTTCAGGCTCCCAAGTAACTGGGACCACAGGTGTGCACCACCATGCCCACCTATTTTTTGTATTTTTAGTAAGGACAGCATTTCACCATGTTAGCCAGGCTGGTCTCGTACTCTTTACCTCAGGTAGTCCGCTGCCTCGGCCTCCCATAGTGCTGGATTATAGGCATGAGCCACCACACCTGTTCTTTAATTTTTTTTAGAGGTTGCGTCTCACTCCTCCTTCCCTGAGGCTGGAGTGCAGATGGCAAGATCGTAGCGGACTGCAGTCTTGAACTCCTGGGCTCAAGCAATCCTCCCACCTCAGCTGCCCAAGTAGGTGGGCCTACAGGAGCACACCACAATGCCTGGATAATTCTTAAATTTTTTTGTAGAGATGGGCTATTGCTTTGTTGCTTAGGCTGGTGTGGAACTCCTGGCTATAGCAATCCTCCCATTTCAGCCTTCCAAAATGTTGGAGTTACAGGCATGAGCCACCGGGCCCAGCTAATATCTTTCTTTTTCATTTATTTTTTTTTTACTTAAAATTTAAAAAGTTTTTAAAATTTAAAATTAGAAAACATGGAACACTTAACACATTTGCATGTCATCCTAGAGCAGGGGTCGTGCTAATCTGTGTATCCTTCTAATTTTAGTATATGTCCTGTCAAAGTGAGCCCAATGTCTTTTTAAGCAGTTGTGGGTTACTTCAAATGGTTATGATTTCTTGGTGAATTGAGGAGACTTATTAGCTACTCTATGAAAGATAGATGGATATCTTGTGCAGAGGGCAAAGGAGAGAAATTCTGGTTTACTTAAGAAAAAGGGAAGTAAGATGAGGTAAAGTGATGATTGTAGCTGTATTCATCACTTTTTTTGTATTACAGCTGGCTGGAAGGCTCTGCTGACTCATGTTCTACAGCAGTGGTTCTTAAAGTTTAACATACATCATTTCTTTGTTCCTTCTGCACTCCCACTGCTTGACCTAATTAGCCTACATTAGGTGAGGCACGGTGGCTCACGCCTGTAGTCCCAGCACTTTGGGAGGCCAAGGAGTGTGGATCACTTGAGGCCAGGAGTTCCAGACCAGCCTGACCAACATGGTGAAACCCCAACTTTACTAAATTAAAAAAAAATTAGTTCTTCCACATACCTGTAATTTCAGCTACTTGGGAGCCTGGGGCAGGAGGATCGCCTGAATCCGGGAGGCGTATGTTGCAGTGAGCCGAGATTGCGCCATTGCACTCCAGCCTTGGCAACAGAGCAAAACTTCATCTCAAAAATTGAAAAAAAAATTAAATAAATAAATAAAGTTTAGCATGCATCAGCATTACTTGGAGGGCTTGTTAAAACATAGATTGCTGCCCCCACCCTCTACTAATTCAGTAGATCTAGTGTAGGGCCCAGGAATTTGTGTTTCTAAATAGTTCTCAGGTAATGCTGATGCTGGTATGGGGACCACATTGATCTACAACATTCTTCAAAGTTGTTGTTAGATGCTTAATTAGGTAAAGCCATTTTGGATATTAAATGTGGCATGAAAATTTATAAACATTTAACTTTTATAGAAAAAAATGTTATTTTAATATCATTTATATGTAGGCACATTGCTGACAAGCAATATGACTTGGTAGAAAAAAAATAACTCATTTCTCTTAGAAAATTGCTGTTCAAGAACCTGTTAATCTTGGATAAATGGCCAGGCGAGGTGGCTTATGCCTGTAATCCTAGCACTTTGGGAGGCCAAGGTGGGTGGATCATGAGATCAAGAGATTGAGACCATCCTGGCCAATATGGTGAAATCTCATCTCTACTAAAAATACAAAAATTAGCCAGTCATGGTGGTACTCGCCATAGTCCCAGCTACTCAGGAGGCTGAGGCAGGAGAATCGCTTTTAACCTGGGAGGCAGAGGTTGCAGTGAGCCAAGATCACTCCACTGCACTCCAGCCTGGGTAACAGAGTAAGACTCCATCTCAAAAAAATAAATAAATGAAAATAAATCTTGGATAAATTACTTCTGTGACCCATTTTCTCACTACAGAAGAATGAATTCCTGTTAAATTTCAGATTATTGTAAAGATCAGGTGAATTGATACAGATGAAAGTAGTATGAATACGAAGATTGCTGTAAAGTTTAGTTAATATGTGATAGTAAGAGGCATCTCAATTTTGTTTCACAGATTGACTGGAATAATAGCCAGCGCACCTAAGGGTGAACTACTGAAGAGAGTGCTTAACCCATTACTTCGTGAGTATTTCTGCATATAGCAGTAAAATGTTTGCAAGGCAGTGTGGTTTTCAGGAATATATTTAAATCTTTTATGGTTTTATTAGAAAATTTGAACAAGAAGCTTAAAGTGATTCTTTTAGTAAATAGGAGTTTATTGTCAAAGAAAGAGAAGTTAAACCATATGAAGTTTGAGCTTTATCTATTAGATTTTATTTAAAAGCAGTGCAGATTGTGTTATCTAGTACTTCAGGGCTAAAGGTAGTATTCTAAGAAATCAGATTTTTTCAACGTGAGTCTTCGATTTAATACCGGATTATCTTAGTTTTTTTTTTTTTTTTTTTTTTTTTTTTTAAAGTTAATTGGTGGGTCTCAGTGCATCCCAGCATCTGCCAGATCTTTTGATCCCAATACACTTGAGAAGATCATCACTCAGCCCTATATTAAACAATCTAGAGAAGACATAGAGGGCGGCAGGTATCATTGATTACTGAGCACTAGAAAGTTACTCTTCCTCTCTTATGAAATTGAAATGCGTTCCAAATTTATCTTTAGGCTGGGCGTGGTGGCTCACTGCCTGTAATCCCAACACTTTGGGAGGCCAAGGCGGGTAGGACCATGAGGTCAAGAGATGGAGACCATTCTGACTGACATGGTGAAACCCTGTCTCTACTAAAAAATACAAAAATTAGCTGGGCGTGGTGTTGTGTGCTTGTAGTCCCAGCTACTCGGGAGGCTGAGGCAGAAGAATCACTTGAACCGGGAGGCGCAGGTTGCAGTGGGCTGAGATTGTGCCACTGTCCTCCAGGCTGGTGTCAGAACAAGACGTCTCAAAAAAAAAAAAAATTATCTTTAGAACTTTCCAACTGTTAGTATAGCATGTGTAAAATGTGTAAATTTAGATTAAGCCAGTCTCTCCCTGGCAAATGCAAATTTCTTTTTTTTCTTTTTAAAATTTATTTTTTTAAGAGGTGGGGTCTCATTATGTTGCCTAGGCTGGTCTTGAACTCCTGGGCTCAAGCAGTTCACCTACCTCAGCCACTGAAAGTGCTGGGATTACGGGCATGAGCCACCACACCTGGCCTCCCCCTGGCAAATTTCTGTAATGTTTGAAATCAGGTAGTACAGGTTGAACATTCCTAATGTGAAAATCTGAAGTCTGAAACTTTTTGAGCACAGACATGATACCATAAGTGGAAAATTCCAGTCATGTGACAGCTATACAAAATTATTTAAAATATTATATAAAATCACCTTCAGGCTATATTGTTTAAAGTATCCATGAAACATAAATGAATTTTGTGTTTAGGCTTGGGTTCCATCCCCAGGACATCTCATTAGATATATGCAGATATTCCAAAACATGAAAAAATCTGAAATCCGAAATACTTCTATCCCAACACTTCACATAAGGAATACTCAACTTATATATCCTCTCTAACTGTTCATTTTTTTTTTTTTCAGAAAAGTTTTGGCATTTGGCATTTCAAAAGATCTTTTGCATTTCCTGAGGGTCTCAGTCTGTCACCCAGGCTGAAGTACAGTGGTGTGAACTCCGCTCACTGCAGCTTCAACCTCCCAGGCTCAGGCCATCCTCCTGCAGCAGCCCCCCAAGTAGTTGGGAGTACAGGCATGTACTGTCACTTGTGGCTAATTTTTGTATTTTTTAGTAGAGACAGGGTTTTACCATGTTGCCCAGGTTAGTCTTAAACTCCTGAGCTCAAGCAGTCCGCCTTTCTTGGCCTCCTAAAGTGTTGGGATTACAGGTGTGAGCAGCTGCTCGCAGCCTGCATTTCCTTATAAAATTTACATGTTACTTTCTGCAAAAAAAGGCTCATAGGATTTTGATACGGATTCTATTATTGCTATTATTTGAAAGAGGCTCATTCTATTTCCCAGACTGGAGTTCAGTGGCATGATCTCAGCTCACTGCAGACTCCACCTCCTGGATTCAAGTCATTTTCTTGCCTTAGCCTCCCAAGTAGCTGGGATTACAAGTATGTGCCACCATACCCACTAATTTTTGTATTTTTAGTAGAGATGGAGTTTCACCCGGGTGGCCAGGCTGGTGTTGATTATAGCTGTCAGCCACTGTACCCACCCTGATAAAGATTACATTAAGTCTGTGGATCAGTTTGGGGAGAATTGCCATGTTAACTACATTGAGCCAGGTGTGGTGGCTCACACCTGTAATCCCAGCACTTTGAGATACTGAGGCTGGTGGATCATGAGGTCAGGAGCTCGAGACCAGCCTGACCAACATGGTAAAATGCATCTCTGCTAAAAATATAAAAATTAGCTGGATGTGGTGGCGTGCACCTGTAATCCCAGTTACTCAGGAGGCTGAGGCAGGAGCATCACTTGAACCCAGGATGTGGAGGTTGCAGCGAGCCGAGATGGCACCACTGCACTCCAGCCTGGGTGATAGAGTGAGACTCCATCTCAGTACAAAAATTAGCTGGGCATGGTGGCAGATGCCTGTAATCCCAGCTACTCAGGAAGCTGAGGCAGGAGAATCTCTTGAACCCGGAAGATGGAGGTTGCAGTGAGCCGAGACTGCACCATTGAACTCCAGCCTGGGCAACAGAGTGCGACTCTGTCTCAAAAAATAAATTACTACATTGCATCTTCTATGAAGAATGTCTATTTAGATCTTTAATTTCTCTCAGATTTATTCATGCCTTCTAATGCTATTCTGAGTGGAATTGTTTTTTTGAGTTTTTGCATAGAAATACAATTGATTTCTGTATATTGATTTTTGTATCCTGCAAACCTGAGTCTTGTTTATTCATTCTCATAGGGTTTTTTTTGTGGGTTCCTTAGGATTTTTAAAACATACAGGGTCATGTCATCTGTGAATAAGGATGCTTTACTTCTTCCTTTAGAATCTGAAGGCCATTAATTAATTTGCCTTATTATGCTAGCAGTAGCCTCCAGTACAATGTTGAATAGCTTGTGAGACTGCATATTCTTTCCTTATTCCTGATCTTAGGGGGATAATATTCATTCCTTCACCAATAATTATCTTATTAGCTGTAGGTTTTTCATAGGTATATAAGACTGAAAATGCTCCCTCTATTCCTAGTTTATTGAGAGTTTTTATTAGGAATTAGTATTGCATTTTGTCAAATGCTTTTTCTGCATCTACTGAAATGATATATGGCTCTTTTCCTTTATTAATATGAACTATTACATTAACCAATTTTTGGCTGCTAAACCAACCTTGCATTCTAGGGATAAGCCCATTAAATTCCTACAGCTTGCACTGACTTTTGTAAGTTAATTGTGGTCTCAAATTTCTTCAAGAACTAGAATTGTCATTTCTAAGTAAACTTACTGTTTTCACTGGCCAAGGTTATGAGTAGATCATTTGTATTGGGATATAAATTTGTGCTCTATTTTGAGTGTTAAATTTTAGGCTGGGCATGGTGGCTCTCACCTGTAATCCCAGCACTTTGGGAGGCCAAAGTGGGTGGATCACCTGAGGTTAGGAGTTTGAGACTAGCCTGGCCAACATGGTGAAACCCTGTCTCTACTAAAAATACAAAAATTAGCTGGGCATGGTGGTGGGTGCCCGTAATCCCAGCTACTCTGGAGGCTAAGGCAGGAGGTGGGAGGCAGAGGTATGGAGGTTGCAGTGAGCCAAGATTGCACCATTGCATTCCAACCTGGGCATCGAGTGAAGCTGCATCTCAAAAAAAAAAAAAAAGAAATTTTGTAGGAAAATACTAAAAATAATGTCCTCTCCATTTACAGCCTATGGACCAGCTCTCATTGAACACTGTCTTATAGAAAATGGATTCTCGGGTAATGTCAAAGTGGATGAAAAACTTGAAACTAAAGGTATGTATGTCTTCATGGCACATTTTTGTTCATTTATTCTTTTTTTTTTTTCCAACTGTGAAAAATTATTTCTGGAAAAGTAATAAGTATGCAGATGGTTCTAGAATGAAAAACATTTGGCCAGGCACAGTGGCTCATGCCTGCAATCACAGCACTTTGGGAGGCTGAGGTGGAGGATCACTTGAGCCTGGGTGTTTGAGGCTACAGTGGGTGTTGACTGGACTATTGCACTATAGCCCGAGCAACAGAGTGAGACCCCCGTCGCAAACCCACAAAAACAAGTATCATTACCCTCAAAAAAGAAAAACAGTGAAATTTAGTGAATGTTTTAGTTTCTGCAATATGTTAAATCAGTGCAGTCATAAAATGACAACAGGTGCTGATGGTGGTGTTTTGTTTTTTGTTTGTTTTTATAAAATGATGATATTTATATGGAGTAAAAGCATGTGAAAATGTTCAGGAAAACTCTGGAAAATACTAATAATGATTTGCTATTATTACTCTCTGTGTAACCCTTCACAAATTAAAATATGAAGCTGTAGTAATTACAACTAAGTTTTTGGAGAACAGTATAAATAATCCTAAAATAGTTTGAAATATATATGGAAATTTAGTTTATGAACAAAGTTTCTTTTCAGGTCATGGAGGGAAAGGGGATGATTCAATAAAAGCTACTGGGACAATACGCTGGTCAAAATGTAACCTTATTTACATATATCAATCACAAACATGAAATCACTATCTCTAATTTTCTTGAACACTACATCATTTCATAAGTACTTTCCTGTTTTTCTACCTAGTTGTTTAGCTATGGTTAGTTGACTTTTGATTGATACTTTTTTTCCTTTTATTCCCCCACTGTTAGATATTGAAAAAATACTTGTTTGTCTGCAGAAAGCAGAAGACTATATGAAAACAACATCCAACTTCAGTGGGAAGGTAGCACCATGTGTACTTTATTATAAACTGTTGTGATTTTATTTATTTGGGTTTTCAGAAATTAAATGTTAATTAAAGGGTTATTATATATAAATTTTATTTTATTTTGGAAAATTGTTAACTGTAATATGCTTATTCCATGATAGTTGTTTTGAGACGGTCTTGCTCTGTTGCCCAGGCTGGAGTGTAGTGGCATGATCTTGGCCCACTGCAACCTCCATCTCCCTGGTTGAAGTGATTCTCCTGCCTCAGCCTCCGGAGTAGCTGGGACTGCAGGCACGTGCCACCACGCCCAGCCAGTTTTTGTATTTTCAGTAGATGAAGGGTTTCACCATGTTGGCCAGGCTGTTCTCGAACTCCTGGCCTCAAGTGATCTGCCTACCTCAGCCTACCAAAGTGCTGGGATTACAGACAGGAGCCACTATGCCTGGCCCAGGATAGTTTTCTTTCAACTGCTATTGGTTTGTAAGTTTTGTTCTGTTGCCTATCTTTTATAGAAAGTACTGTCAGGTTAGTATTGGCTCTCCAGAAAAGTTGAGGAATTTCAAAATTTTTTTGTTTTGTTTTAGATAGAAGCACATTTTCATTTGTCAGCACTTTCCAAAAATTTTGTGATTTATAGCTCCCAGCCGTTAAACACTTTTTGAATTACCTCGTAGCTTATGAGTGTTTTCTTTTTTTTTTTTTTTTTTTTTGAGACGGAGTTTCACTCATGTTACCCAGGCTGGAGTGCAATGGCGCGATCTCGGCTCACCACAACCTCCGCCTCCTGGGTTCAGGCAATTCTGCCTCAGCCTCCTGAGTAGCTGGGATTACAGGCACGTGCCACCATGCCCAGCTAATTTTTTTTTGTATTTTTAGTAGAGACGGGGTTTCACCATGTTGACCAGGATGGTCTCGATCTCTTGACCTCGTGATCCACCTGCCTCGGCCTCCCACAGTGCTGGGATTACAGGCTTGAGCCACCGCGCCCGGCCTTATGAGTGTTTTCTTTCCTTTTCAAAGTGTAACTCTACTTACAGAAAATTAAAATTAATATCAGTCATAGAAAGTAAATCTTTGGGCTAGGCATGGTGACTCATGCCTGTGATCCCAGCACTTATGGAGGCTGAGGTGGGCAGATCACTTGAGAACAAGAGTTTGAGACCACCTTGGTCGTCATGGCAAAACCCTGTCTCTATTAAAAATACAAAAATTAGCCAGGTATGGTGGCACACACCTGTAATCCCAGCTTCTCAGAAGGCTGAGGTACGAGAATGCCTGAACCTGGGATGCAGGGGTTACAGTGAGCCAAGAATATACCACTGTGCTTCAGCCTGGGTGACAGAGCGAGATTCTGTATCAAAAAAAAAGAAAGTAAATCTTCATTAGTTATGATTAGGAATGATTTTAATATTGGATTTTTGTAGGGATATATCATTCAGAAAAGAGAAACAAAACCAAGTCTGGAAGCAGATAAACCAGCTGAAGACATACTCACGTAAGCATGTAGGCATGGGTCAATTTGCCTTGGATGTTTGTTAATGTTCTTGAATGTGATATAATAAATGTGTTTTACAGGTATGAGGAATTTCATCCTTTCTTGTTTTCTCAACATTCACAATGTCCATATATAGAATTTGAATCATTTGACAAGGTGAGTTTTTTTCATTCTGTTCCTTGACCAGTTAGTTAGCATGATATGAACTGTTAATATCAACTTATTAAGGCCGGGCGCGGTGGCTCAAGCCTGTAATCCCAGCACTTTGGGAGGCCGAGGCGGGTGGATCACGAGGTCAAGAGATCAAGACCATCCTGGTCAACATGGTGAAACCCTGTCTCTACTAAAAATACAAAAAAAAATTAGCTGGGCATGGTGGCACGTGCCTGTAATCCCAGCTACTCAGGAGGCTGAGGCAGGAGAATCGCCTGAACCCAGGAGACGGAGGTTGCGGTGAGCCGAGATCGCGCCATTGCACTCCAGCCTGGGTAACAAGAGCGAAACTCCGTCTCAAAAAAATATATATATATATCAACTTATTTCTACTGAGAAATTGAAACTATACCTGCTTTATAATTACTATGAATCTGGGCATTAACAATCAGTGTAGTCACAGATACAGGTGTTGGAAATAATTGTTGCTACTGTATTTCAGGATGAAGGACCAGAGATTTGAACTTGTTTTGATTCTTGATACTGTTTAGCTATATAATACATTTGCTGGAAGTCTGTTCAAGTTCTTTGAGTGGTGTTAGGAAATAAAATGGAATCTAAAATTTTGTGTACGTGTCTGGGCATGGTAGCTGACGCCTATAATCTCAGCACTTTGGGAGGCCAAGACAGGCGGATCACTTGAGGTCAGGAGTTCAAGACCAATCTGGCCAACACAGTGAAAGCCTGTCTCTACTAAAAACTACAAAAATTACCAGTACGTGGTGAGGTGTGCTTGTAGTCCCAGCTGCTTGAGAGGCTGAGGCAAGAGAATCACTTGAACCTGGGAGGTGGAGGAAGTTGTAGTGAGCCCAGATTGTGCCACTGCAATCCAGCCTGGGCAACAGAGCAAGATCCCATCTCAAAAAAAAAGTAAAATAACATTCTGCATATGCATTTTGAACTGGAGACCATACTTTTTTTTCACCTAGTTGTTTGTCTGTTTTTTAAATAAGGCTGTGGATGAGTTTTATTCCAAGATAGAAGGCCAGAAAATTGACTTAAAAGCTTTACAACAGGTATGTATTATTAAAAACACATATTAAACCAGCTGATTTTAGTGGTTTGATGGGTAGATGATGCTTTTATATAGGAAAAGGTAGCCTTTCAGAAAGTATGTAACAAGTAGTATGGGAACTCTCTGACCTGCCTCTTTATTTATGACAAAGGTTTATGAGAAAGGTTCATGGGGGATTTGAAAAGTATATCCTCATTTGTTTCATGAGTGTATCAGATAATCTTTAAAATAGAAAAAAAAACAGTGGGACGATGAGGCCTGTTATTTATACCTTAGTGTGGTTTGCTCAGAACAACCCAAAGCTTCTCAGACATTGCTATTAAGGGACTACTGTTCTGGGGAGATTTTAAGTAGGCCAGAGGAGGGGATATTGTTTATCATTAAACTGTTTCTGGCCGGGCGCGGTGGCTCACGCCTGTAATCCCAGCACTTTGGGAGGCCGAGGCGGGTGGGTCACGAGGTCAACAGATCGAGACCATCCTGGTCAACATGGTGAAACCCCGTCTCTACTAAAAAAACTACAAAAAATTAGCTGGGCATGGTGGCGCATGCCTGTAATCCCAGCTACTCAGGAGGCTGAGGCAGGAGAATTGCCTGAACCCAGGAGGCGGAGGTTGCGGTGAGCCGAGATCGTGCCATTGCACTCCAGCCTGGGTAACAAGAGCGAAACTCCGTCTCAAAAAAAAAACAAAAAAAAACTGTTTCTTTTTTAAATGGACTTTGAAGCTAGGTCTTTAATATGTTTTCTGTGCATCATGTCTCCAAAGGAAGTAATATACAGTATTTTCCCAGCACACCTGACTATGTTTTAGAGCATTTGCTGCAGAACAGTTTCATAAATTGTTAACAGTCACTCTTGATTTGAAGGGAATTTGATTTTTCAAAAATAGTCTTAAAATGTGTGTGCCAAAATTTCAAATTATTTGAGGCTGGGCATGGTGGCTCATGCCTGTAAATCCCAGCACTTTGGAAGGCTAACGTGGGCAAATCATTTGAGGTCAGGAGTTCAAGAACAGCGTGGCCAACATGGTGAAACCCCATCTCTACCAGAAATACAAAAATTCTCGGAGTGTGGTGATGGGTGTCTTTACTCCCAGCTACTCAGGAGACTGAAGCACAAGAATTGCTTGAACCTAGGAGGAAGAGGTTGCAATGAGCTGAGACCATACTACTGCACTCCAGCATGGGTGACAGAGCCAGACTTTGTCTCAAAAAAAAAAAAATCAATTTGTTTGAATCCGTGTGCCACTTCCCTTTCAGTTTAAAAAAATTAGTTAATTGGCTGGCAAGGTGGCTCATGCCTGTAATCCCAGCACTTTAGGAGGCTGAGGTGGCAGATCATTGGAGGTCAGGAGTTCAAGAACAGCCTGGCCAAAATGCTGAAACCCTCTCTCTACTAAAAATACAAAAACTAGCCAGGTGTGGTAGTGGGCACCTGTAATCCCAGCTATTTGGGAGGTTGAGGCAGCAGAATTACTTGAGCCTGTGAGGCGGAGGTTGCAGTGAGCAGGGATCATGCCATTGCTTTCCAGCCTGGGCAACAGAGCGAGACTGTGACTCAAAGAAAAAAAAAAATTAGTTAATCATAGCATAATTTCAAAGCAGGTAGGCTAGTCAAATGAATTACATCAGGCGATTACCACATGGTAGCAGCACTTTGGCTAGTAAACTGAATCCTGTGTTTTTATGGGTGTCAAAATACTGGTGATTTATTTTGGTAATCATTGTGGGTTGTTTTAATAGTCACCATTCTTATCTGAATATATAAATATTTCATCCAGCATTTAAATACTCATTAATTGATGATATTATTACTAGTATTAGAAATTTGGCCCCCAAATTGATAACCTTGAAATGTAAATTATATATGATAAAATGCCATATAGAAGGTCAAATAACTACCATAAGCCTTTGTCTTATAAATTTAGGGGGGAAAGTTTCTGTAAAATACCAGAAATGGTATTGAGAAAACCAAAAGCAGCAAAAAATAAAAAGTCACTTGGTAATTTATGCTCTTTAAAAATTCATTCTCTGCCAGTGCAGTGGCTCAGGCCTGTAATCCCAGCACTCTGGGAGGCTGAGGTGGGAGGATTGAGCTCAGGAGTTTGAGAGCAGCCTGGGCAGCATAGTGGGACCCTGTTTCTATTACTTAAAAAACAAACAAAAAAATAACGAATTCATTCTCCCAAACTTTACTTTTGTACCTTAGGAAAAAATGTCTTGATTTCTGCCTGTTTGAATAATGCAAAGGGTATTAGGGGTATATCTTATATACACAATAACTTGTAATCCAAATACTTCCTATATGAGGAGTGAGAGGTAGGGAGACAGGAGACATAATTGTGGGTTATGGAATACATTGTAGTGGGATAGGTCTAGGGTATTAGACTATGAGAACTTCAGCCAGTTAGATAACGGCATAGATGGGGTCAGGATAGTGAGGGTTGGGAAGTAAGAGAGGGGCATCACGAGATAAGAGAACTCTAGTTTTTAAAAATCTGCTTTATCAAAAGGAAAAGCAAGCATTGAAGAAATTAGATAATGTTCGAAAGGATCATGAAAACAGATTGGAAGCTCTTCAGCAGACTCAGGTATTATGTTTGGCTTTCTCAGTGCTTTTTCTTTTTTCTTTTTTTTTTTTCCTTTTTCTTTTTTGATTTAACCCTTCATGAATGCGAATTTCAGTGCTTTTTCAAAAATGTTAACTTTGTCAATATAGTAAATGTGTTTGGTTTGTTTCTTAAGGAAATAGACAAACTGAAAGGAGAGCTCATAGAAATGAACCTACAAATAGTTGACAGAGCCATTCAGGTAGTTCGAAGTGCTTTAGCTAACCAAATAGATTGGACAGAAATTGGGTTAATTGTGAAAGAAGCCCAAGCTCAAGGAGACCCTGTTGCAAGTGCAATCAAAGAATTAAAACTACAAACAAATCATGTTACAATGCTGCTAAGGTAAGTTTGCTTCTTAGTCAAACAGTTAATGCTTGTCTTTATTTTGTTACTTTAATTGTTCACTGTATTAAAAATTTTTTCTTTATATTTTGAAATTTATTCTTAAAGCAATTAATTTAGATTAATATAAATAATGAAACTTTACGGTAAAGCATTTATAATTTTTTGAGGAAGAAAATTGAAAATAAAAAGTGATGTCATTGACATTAGTGAAATACTATTGAATATTTTTAATAGAAATCCATACTTGTTATCAGAGGAGGAAGATGATGATGGTGACGTCAGTGTTGAGAAAAATGAAACCGAACCACCAAAAGGAAAAAAGAAAAAGCAAAAGAATAAACAGCTGCAGAAGCCTCAGAAAAATAAGCCATTACTTGTAGATGTTGATCTCAGCTTGTCAGCATATGCCAATGCCAAAAAGTAAGTCATTTAAGTTTAAATTTTAGGCAAAATATTATCTGCAATAAATTAAGGAATTGAGGATGTTAAAAAAATTCAAAATTTCACCTGTATATGCATACTTTTTTTTTTTTGGGTGAAAATACATTTTTAAATTTAGTTTTGTTAATTATACAGTTTGTTCTGATCTGTATAATTTGAGAATTTGTAAAGTTAGAAGCAGAAAACTAAACAATAAAGGTTTTACTTAAAATTTAACAGAAATATGTTTTTCTAGGTATTATGATCACAAGAGATACGCTGCTAAGAAAACGCAAAAGACTGTTGAAGCTGCTGAGAAGGTACTGAGTATTTCTTCTTTTTTTTTTTTTGAAGTGGAGTTTTACTCTTATTGTCCAGGCTGGAGTGCAGTGGCATGATCTTGGCTCGCTGCAAACTCCACCTCCAAAGCGATTCTCCTGCTATTAGCTGGTATTATAGGCATGTGCCACCATGCCTGTCTAATTTTGTATTTTTAGTAGGGACAGAGTTTCTCCATGTTGGTCAGGCTGGTCTCAAACTCCTGACCTCCGGTGATCTGCCTGCCTCAGCTCCCAAAATGCTGGGATTACAGATGTGAGCCACTGTGCCCTGCTGGTCCTGAGTATTTCTTAGAGTGAATATAAGTTATTTTTGCCTGCTTAATTTAATGGACATAATTATATCTTCTATTTAAATGAAGTTTTTTAATTCAGCAGTAACTTTCAAACTTAACCTGATGCTTTTCTAGGTATTATGATCACAAATGTATGTATTTCCAGTATTTTTTTCCCCCAAGCCTGCTCCTCCCCCATTCATCCTCATCTCAGTAAATAGCACCTTCATTTTTCTGTTTGCTCAGGTTAAAAATGTTTGTGAGCCGGGTGTGGTGGCTCACGCCTGTAATCCCAGCACTTTGGGAGGCCGAGGCGGGTGGATCACGAGGTGAACAGATCGAGACCATCCTGGTCAACACGGTGAAACCCCGTCTCTACTAAAAATACAAAAAATTAGCTGGGCATGGTGGCGCGTGCCTGTAATGCCAGCTACTCAGGAGGCTGAGGCAGGAGAATTGCCTGAACCCAGGAGGCGGAGGTTGCGGTGAGCCGAGATCGCGCCATTGCACTCCAGCCTGGGTAACAAGAGCGAAACTCCGTCTCAAAAAAAAAAAAAAAAAATGTTTATGATATCCTGGACTCTTCTCCCATAAATCATGCAATTCATCAGTAAATCCTTTGGTTCTTTCTTTAAAGTATAGCCAGGATCTAGCTGCTACTCATTATTTCCACTGATCAGTCGTCTATCACCTCTATGTTCACGTGGACTGTAACAGTAGCCTCTAGTCGGATCTGTCGTCTTCTCCCCTTTTCCCACTGTACTGTTCTCCACATAGCAGCCATTGCGATCCTTTTTGTTTGTTTGTTTTTGAGATAGAGTTTCGCTCTTGTTGCCCAGGCTGGAGTATAATGGTGCAATCAGCTCACTGCAACCTCTGCCTTCTGGGTTCAAGCTATTCTCCTGCCTCAGCCTCCCAAGTAGCTGGCATTATAGGCGTGCACCACCACACCTGGCTAATTTTGTATTTTTAGTAGAGACAGTTTCTCCATGTTGGTCAGGCTGGTCTTGAATTCCTGACCGCAGGTGATCCACCCACCTCGGCATCCCAGAGTGCTGAGATTATAGGCATAAGCCACTGCACCTCGCTGATCTTTTTTTTTTTTTTTTGCGATGGAGTTACTCTTGTTCCTCAGGCTGGAGTGCAATGGCTGGATCTGGGCTCACTGCAACCTCCGCCTCCGAGGTTCAAGCGACTCTCCTGCCTCAGCCTCCTGAATAGCTGAGACTACAGGCGCACACCACTACACTCAGCTAATTTTTGTATTTTTAGTAGAGACAGGGTTTCTCCGTTTTGGCCAGGCTGGTCTCGAACTCCTGAACTCAGGTGATCCACCTGCCTCAGCCTCCGAAAGTGCAGGGATTATAGGCATGAGCCACCATGCACGGCTAATTTTTGTGTAGAGACAGGGTTTCTCCATGTTGGTTAGGCTGGGTCTTGGCCTCCCAAAGTGCTGGGATTACAGGTGTAACTCAACATGCCCAGCCCCATTGTGATCCTTTCAAATCAAAAGTGAAGACTGGATGTGGTGGTTCACACCTGTCATCCAGCACTTTGGAAGGCCCAGGCGGAGGATCACTCGAGGCCAGGAATTTGAGACCAACCTGGCCAACATGGTGAAACCCCATATCTACTAAAAATACAAAAATTAGCCAGACATGATGGCGGGCGCCTGTAATCCCAGTTACTCGGGAGACTGAGGCAGGAGAATCTCATGAATCTGGGAGGTGGAGATTGCAGTGAGCCGAGATCATGACATTCTCCAGCGTGGGTGACAGAGCAAGACTCCATCTCAAAAAACATATTAAAAAATTGTTTAAAGTGAAGTCCTTTCTCTCTGTACAAAATCTTCCAGTTGCTTCCCATCTTAATACAATTCAGAGCCTTTCTTCTGTCCTCCAAGAAAGACAGGAGATCTGCTTGCCTCTGAGTTCATCACCTGTATTCCTCCTCTCATACACTCTTGCTGGCTACACTGGGATCTTAGCTGTTCATAAAATAATGGCATATGCTTCTCTTTCAGGGTCTTTGCCCTTGCTGTTCTCTCTACCGGGAATTTTCAGTTAGACCCCTCTCGTCTATGTAAATGAAATTTAATTAGAGAATCCTTCCCTGACCACTGATTACTAACAATAGCACCACCCTGAATCACTCTATCTATAATTTGCCGTATTTTTGTTCCTGAAAATACTCCCTAGCCCAACATGTTTATTTGAATATTTTTTCTGGGTTCCCTCTAGAATATAGATTACATGAAAGTAGAATCTTTGTGCTGTTCATTGCTGCATCCCAATCCATGGAATATTGTCTGGAACAGAGTAGGCACTTCAATAGCTGTTAAATGAGTGGCCCTCATGACTTGGCCCTCTGTCTACTGCTCCAACCTCAACCTCATTTATTGTCATTTTGCCCTTGATCACTACTTGCTGGTCTTTTTTTTTTTCTTTTTTCTTTTTTCTTTTTTTTTTTTTTTGCTTATAATACCCTTTTTCCTGTTTTTTCTTTTTTCTTTTTTTGAGACGAAGGAGTATTGCTCTGTCACCCAGGCTAGAGTGCAGAGGCTCAATCTCGGCTTACTGCAACCTCTGCCTGCCGGGTTCAAGAAGTTCTCCTGCCTCAGCCTTCTGAGAGCTGGGACTATAGGCATGCGCCACCATGCCTGGCTACTTTTTTTGTATTTTTAGTAGAGACGAGGCTTCACCATGCTGGCCAGGCTGGTCTCGGACTCCTGACCTCGTGATCCACCCGTCTCGGCCTCCCAGAGTGCTTGGATTACAGGTGTGAGCCATTGCACCCAGCCCCCTTTTTCCTATTCTTTGCCTGATAATCCCATTATTCATTGAGGATTCTGCTTAAATGTCATTTCCTCAGAGGTACCTTCTTTGACCCTAATCTGGTATAAATTGGGTTTCCTTGTTATACTCCTATAACATCTTTAGAAGCACTTACCATATATTTATTTAAAGGATTATATGTTTAATAGTTGTCTCTTCTAGACTTCCTGGGGTGGGAGTGGGGGCTTTGTCCATCTTGTTCACTGTTGTATCTCTAATGGTATCTAGCCCAGAACCTACAATATGATAAGCACTCAGTATCTAGAAAATGAACAAGGTATTTATTAATTTGTAAGTCTTGGGCAAATATTTGCATGTAGTAGTAAATCTTTGTTTAGATTATTTTAATACTTAAGGTAAAAATCTTTTCATTTTTTTGTTACCCAAAATATGCATATTTGTGTGTGTGTGTGTGTGTGTGTCTGCGTAGATTGTGCCATTTTGTGACATTTAAAAAACAATTTCTTGCCCTATTATTTACTTTGATGTTAAATACATAACCAGTTGTTCTTAAAACTCTTTTCCATAAATAGGCATTCAAATCAGCAGAAAAGAAAACAAAGCAAACATTAAAAGAAGTTCAGACTGTTACCTCTATTCAAAAAGCAAGAAAAGTATATTGGTAAGTGTCCTATCTCTTTTACATTTACTTTTTGTTTTTATTAAGATTATCCATGCACATTGTTTAGAAAAGTCAAGCAGTTCCTCAAAGCTTGTTACAAAAACCAGTAGCTCTGCAATTTTTTTTGGTTTGTTTGAGACAGGGCCTCAGTCTGACACCCAGGGTGAAGTACAGGGGCGTGAACATGGCTCACTGTAGCCTTGACCTCCAGGGCTCAAGCAGTTTTCCTACTTCAGCCTCCCAAGTGGCTGAGATTGCAGGCACATGTCACCGTGTCCAGCTAATTTTTTACTTTTTGTAGAGACAGGGTCTCACTTTGTTGCCCAGGCTGGTCTTAAACTTTTGGGTGCAAGAAATCCTCCTGCCTCAGCCTCCCAAAGTGCTGGATTACAGGCGTACACTTCTGTACTCACTAGCTCTGTAGTTCCTCACCTTTACTCCTATTTCCTGCTCTCTGAAGGAAATTACTTTTAGCTCTTTTAGTTGATTCTTTTGATATTTGCCTTTATTTCTGTTAGTAATATGCTTATATTGCTTCTTAATTTTTCTATTTTACAGTGTTATTGACTTCCCACTGTGAAAGATGAGGATTTCCCTCTTTCCACTTGTGTTCCATTATGTACACATACAGTTACAGCATAATTTTGTCAAGATTAATAGTCAGCATTGGCATCATTATAAATATTTAAATTATAGTTATAGCTGAGCCACGTAGAATTCTGTTTTCTTTTTTCTTTCTTGCTAAGTTTTAAAAATCTTCCCTGGAGTTACTGATCGTCAATTAATTTGCTTTCTTTTTATTTTTGTTCTTACCACTAATTTATGTAAATATTATCTTTCAAGTGTGTTCATACACATTGAAATTCAATCCCTGTCATCTTGCAGAGATCAGAAGTCTCTCCTGGAGCTTTTTGACTTACTTTATTTTAGATTGATTCGAAGCATCTTACAATTTCCTTTTATTGTTATCTTGGTAGTTATCTTTACCATTCTCTGTGTTGGAAACTCTTCTGGATCTCACACTTCTTTCTTGGTTGAAGGAGTATGTGTTCCAGAAGCTTCACAAGAAAAAGTGTATAGGAAGCAAAGTTTTTGAGGTCTCCAGTGTATGAAACATTTTACTCTTATAGTGTGACTGGGCTGGGCACAGTGGCCCATTCCCGTAATCCAAGCACCATGGGAGGGTGAGGTGGGTGGATATCTTAAGCTCTGGAGTTCAAAACGAGCCTGTGCAACATGGCAAAACCCAATCTCTTTTTAAAAAATTGAGTATAGGATTCTACTATGAAAATCCATTTTTCTCAGACTTTTAAAGGCATTGCTTCATTATAGTTCTTGAGAAATCTGGTATTATTTTGATAGTTGATATTTTATTTTATTTTTTATTATTTTTTTTGACACGCAGTCTCACTTTGTTGCCCAGGCTTGAGTGCAGTGGCGCCATCTCAACTCACTGCAACCTTCACCTCCCGGGTTCAAGTGATTTCTCCTGTCTCAGCCTCCCAAGGAGCTGGGATTACAGGTGCCTGCCACCACGCCGAACTAATTTTTGTATGTTTAGTAGAGAGGGGTTTCTATCGTGTTGGCCAGGCTAGTCTCTAACTCCTGGCCTCAAGTGATCCCCTGGCTTCAGCCTCCCAAAGTGCTGTGATAATAGGCATGAGCCATCACACCTGGCTGATAGTTGATATTTTACATGAAACTTGCTTTTGCCTATCTTATAGATTTTTTCCTTTCTCCCAATTTTTTTTCTAAATTGCTTTTGTTATTTTTTTTTTATTCCTCTCCTTCTTGAATTATAAATTTTTCAAAATTTTATAATTGGTGGGTTTGGTGGTGATGCTTTACTCCATTATATTGGACACTTTGTGGGTTGTTTTAATTGAGAAACTTTCAGTTGTGAGACATTTTCTTGAAATAGTTCTTGAAAAACTGCCAGACCTCTGCTTTCTTTTTTCATCTTCTTTTGTGAATCTTGTTTTTAAGATATGGGACCCCCTAGACCAGTCCTCCAATTTTGTTGCATTTTCTATTTTTAAGCCTGTCATTTTGCTGTATATCCTGGGAGTTTCCTCAGCTTTATCTTCCATTGAATCCTTCCACTGAATTTTTTACTTCTATCATCTTTTTAATTTTAAGAACTCCTCAACATAGTGTTACTGGCACAAACAACAACAACAACAACAACAAAAAAAAAAACAAAAAGAAGACTTTCTTTTGGTTCTTGGAATATACCTTTAAAAAAAAAAATAAATGTTTCCACCCTAGTTTCTTTTAGCTCTCTGAGAATAGTTTTGATGTATTACCTTTTTTTTAGTATTCTTTTCTTATAAGTCTCTGTCTTCTCCAAGTTGTTTCTTTTTAACTTTTATTTAGTTATATATATTTAGGTGGGGCACGGTAGCAGTCACACTTGTAATCCTAGCACTTTGGGAGGCCAAGACAGGAGGATCACTTGAGGTTAGGAGTTCGAGACCAACCTGGCTAACATAGTGAAACCCTGCCTCTAGTAAAAACACACAAAAAATTAGCCAAGCCTGGTGGTGGGTGCCTATAATCCCAGCTACTAGGGAGACTGAGGCATGAGAATCTCTTGAACTTGGGAGGCATAGGTTTCAGTGAGCTGAGATCATGCCACTGCACTCCAGCCTGGAGGACAGAGCAAGACTCTGTCTCAAAAAAAAAAGAAATTATCTAAGGAGACTCCAATAATGCTAGACCTCTCAAAGACAAAAGTTAAAAGTCATGCAGTCACCCTACCCCACCACACATACTGACTGGAGACCAGAAGTTAATCTGTTTGGCAGACATACTCCCTTTCTTTTCTTAACGTGGCAGCAGTCTTTCCACAATTGATTACACACTTAAACATGATCATCGTTTTCATCCCGTGGAGGGTGTTAATGAGAGGAAAGGGGCCAGCATTACCTCTTTGTTGTTGTTGTTTTAGTAGGGACGGGGTCTTTTGGTGTTGCCCAGGCTGGTCTCAAAGTCTGGACTCAAGCGATCCTCCCACCTCAGCCTCCCAAAGTGCTGGGATTACAGGCCCTACCATTACTTTTGTTTTCCTTTGAGACAGAGTCCTAGCTCTATTGCCCATGCTGGAGTGCACTGGCACGATCTTGGCTCACTGTAACCTTCGCCTCCTGGGCTCATGGAATTCTTCTGCCTCAGCCTCCCAAGTAGCTGGGACTACAGGTGTGCACCACCATGCCCAGCTAATTTTTGTATTTTTAGTAGAGATGGTATTTCACCATATTGGCTAGGCTGGTCTCAAATTCCTGACCCCAAGTGATCTGCCCTCCTCAGGCTTCCAAAGTGCTGGAATTATAGGCAGTAGCCACCGCGCCCAGCCCATTATTACCTGTGGATGCAGTACTTTCAGAATCTGAAATGGAGAGGGTAAGGAACTTAAGCAAAGTCATGCAGTGACCATAGGACAGCCCATAAGTGCTGACAGCTTTGAAGAATGACTCTGTCCTGGCACCAAACTCAAAAGGTATTCATAACTTTTCTTTGAGCCATAAAAAGGATCAAATGTGTCATTTCAAAACACACACACACACACACACACACACACACACACACACACTCGCAAACAAAAGCAAATGAGGGGCCAGGCATGGTGGCTCACGCCTGTAATCTCATCCTTTTAGGAGGCCGAGGTGGGTGGATCACAAGGTCAGGAGTTTGAGACCAGTTTGGCCAATATGGTGAAACTCTGTCTTTACTAAAAATACAAAAAGTAGCTGGGCATGGTGGCTCCGGCCTGTAGCAACCCGGAAAGCTGAGGCAGAAGAATCACTTGTACCTGGGAGGGGGAGGTTGCAGTGAGCTGAGATCAAGCCACTGCACTCCATCCTGGGTGACAGAATGAGTCTCCATCTTAAAAAAAAAGAAAAAAAAAAGAAAAAGAAAATGGGTGGCTGAAGTAGTTCTCTGAGCCTCTGAAAACATTTCCCGAAGATAAATTAGCTAATAGGTATCACATTCTACACCCTTGAAGCAAGTGAAGGGAAGTTATTGGATAGATGCTCACAAGCGAAAACATGGGTACATGCAATTGCTCTGCCTAAGAGACATAAGCATTCAGAACTCTCCTCCTTTTGAGGTAGTTTCTATTTTTGTGAGAAAATAAAAAGTTAAAGCATTTACATATAAAGGTAGGGATAGGCTGGGTGCAGTGGCTCATGCCTATAATCCCAGTACTTTGGGAGTCCATAGGTGGGTGGATCACTTGAGGTGAGGAGTTTGAGACCAGCCTGGGCAACAAACCAGACCAGATCAGGCGAAACCCATCTCTAGAAAAAATACAAAAATCAGCCAGATGTGGTGGCACACAACTGTGGTCCCAGCTACTCTGGGCGACAGAGTGAGACTCCAGCTCAAAAAAGAAATATATATACTTATATATAAATATATATTACATTTGTATATGCATATATATTATATACTATATATGGATATAATATATTTAGATATAAAATATATGTTATATTTATATATAAATATATTAAATACATAACTATATATTCTATACTTGTATATGAATATATGTTTATATATAAATATACTTACATATGAATATATATTCATATATTATGTATATATTTCTTCTGAGAGAGAGATATTTTTTTGAGAGTCAGTCTGTCGCCCAGGCTGGAGTGCAGTGTCATGGTCTTGGCTCACTGAAACGTCTGCCTCCCAGACTCCACTGATCCTCCTACCTCAGCCTTTCCAGTAGCTGGGACCACGGGTGTGTGCTGTATCATCTAGGTAATTTTTGTATTTTTTGTAGAGACGGGTTTCACCTGGTGTGTGTGTGTATATATGTATGTGTACATACACGTTTGTATATATATACACACGTATATATATACGCATATATGCTTATATATATAAATATAGACAGGGTTTTGCCTGAGAGATAGATATATATGTATGTATGTATATATGTATGTATGTATTTATATTTAAGGTGTGCAGTATGTTTTTATTATATACATATGCATAATGAAATGATTAATATGGTCAAGTACATTAACATATTCATTGTCTCACATAGTTACTCTGTTTTTTTTTGTGTGTGTGGTAAGAGCACTTCAAAATCTCTCTTAGCGGCCAGGTATGGTAGCTTACACCTGTAATCAGCTCTTTGGGAGGCCGAGGCGGGCTGATCACCTGAGGTCAGGAGTTCTAAACCAGCCTGACCAACATGGAGAAACCCCGTCTCTACTGAAAATACAAAATTAGCCTGGTATGGTGGTACATGCCTGTAATCCCAGTTACTCAAGAGGCTGAGGCAGGATAATCGCTTGAACCCAGGAGGCAGAGGTTGCGGTGAGCCGAGATGGTGCCATTGCACTCTAGCCTGGACAATAAGAGTGAAACTCCATCTTAAACAAACAAAATCTCTCTTAGCAAATTTCCAATATATAATACAGTGTTATTAACCATATTCCTCATGCTGTATATTAGATGTCTAGAGTTACTCATCTTATGTAACTGTAACTTGATATTTTTTGACATACCCAAAACAGCCCTACCGCACCCTTCTTTTTTTTTCTTTTCTTTTGGAGACGGAGTCTCACTCTGTCGCACAGGCTGCTGAGTAGCTGGGAATACAAGTGTTTCCTTTTAAATGGTTCTTTTGTCTTCAGCTTTCATATTGCAGACTTTCATTAATGTCTGATGCTCCTTGATTGTCTATTCAACATTTTACACTTTATGGTAGATTATTAAAATGCTGATTGGTGGGCTGGGCGCGGTGGCTCACACCTATAATCCTAGCACTTTGGGAGGCCGAGGCGGGTGGATCACGAGGTCAAGAGATCGAGACCATCCTGGTCAACAAGGTGAAACCTCGTCTCTACTGAAAATACAAAAATTAGCTGGGCATGATGGTGCGTGCCTGTAATCCCAGCTACTCGGGAGGCTGAGGCAGGAGAATTGCTTGAACCCAGGAGGCGGAGGTTGCGGTGAGCCAAGATTGTGCCATTGCACTCCAGTCTGGGCAACAACAGTGAAACTCCGTCTCAAAAAAAAAAAAAATGCTGATTGGAAGTGCCCTGGGTGGTTGAGCTTGTGAAATGATCTGTCTTGGCCATTTTTTGTGGAATCCTCATTGTCTTTAGCCCTTTTCCTGTGAGCTAGTCTCATTTCCCAGAAAAGATTCTTTTTCTCTCCTGCTTTGTAAGGTGAAGACCTGGCCGCTGCAGCATTTGGGGAGCCCAGTGGGAATAATAGGCTGAGAGTCTTAGGATCCAGTAATTCATTCACTTAGTTGCTGTGTTTTACATATATTACTTCTGACGATAGCTGTGCCACATTTACTTTTGTCTAGCGATCTTCTTTATACCCGTTCTAGAGAAATTAACCTCTGGCCTTGTTAGGAAATAGAATAGGAATTAGCTGGAAGGATGTATGGAACTAACTGCTTCTTGAACAGACTTTTAGCCAGTCCTATTTTCATTCCCATCTTAAACTCTGTTTCCTTAAGTACTTGTGCTGCTATTTCTTTAGCCTTTTATGAATTTTACATTGTAAATTTAGTTGTTGCTTTTTTCACCATCAGCTTAGGATTCAGCTTCTTGAGTCTGATCACTTGTTTTCCAGCTTTCAAGATTTGTTTGCATTTGTCTCTTCTCCTTCTCTGATTGACATCTCTGTTAATGGATAGGATTATCCTGTAATTTTTATTTCTTGTAATGTTCTTGTTAGGTATTAGTATCAAGGTCATATTGCTTCATAAAACAAGTTGGAAAGTACTCCTTTTTCAATTGTTATTAAATATCTTAGGAAATTTACTTGCAAAGCTGAGTAGTCCTGGAGTTTTCTTTGGGAAAGCTTTTCATTGCAGATTCAGATTTTTTAGCATATGTAAGGATTGTTCAAATTTCCTAGTTTTGGTAAGCAGTGGTTTTTTTTTTTTTTTTTTTTGAGATGAAATCTCTGTCATCCAGGCTGGAGTACAGTGGTAGGATCTCAGCTCACTGAAACCTCTGCCTCCTGGGTTCAAGAGATTCTCCTGCCTCAGCCTCTTGAGTAGCTGGAACTACAGGCGTGTGCCACCACTCCTGGCTAATTTTTCGTAGTTTTAGTAGAGATGGTTTTACTATGTTAGCCACGATGGTCTCGATCTGCTGACCTTGTGATCTGCCTGGGCTCCCAAAGTGCTGGGATTACAGGTGTGAGCCACCTTGCCTGGCCGGTAAGCAGTATTTTTTTTAAAGAGTTTGTCCGAAGTTTAAAATATATTGGCAGAAAGTTTATAATATTCCTCTGCAAATTTGTCTGTTTCTCCTTTTACTTCTGCCAGTTTTTGCTTTTTATCATTATTTTTGAAACGGACTCCGACTCTGTCGCTCAGGCTAGAATACGGTGGCACAATCTCAGCTCACTGAAACCTCCATCTCCCAAGTTCAAGCAATACTATTGCCTCAGCCTCCCGAGTAGCTGGGACTACAGGCACGTGCCACCACATCTGGCTAACTTTATTTGTATTTTTAGTAGAGATGGAGTTTTATCATGTTAGCCAGGATGCTCTTGATCTCTTGACATTGTGATCTGCCTGCCTGGGTCTCCCAAAGTGCTGGGATTACAGGTGTGAGCCACCACACCTGGCCTTTTGCTTTTTATATATGAGGCAATGTAATTAGGTGATACAACTATAGAACTGTTTTATCTTCCTAATGAAGTTGAGCCTTTTATCAAATGTAATGAAATGTCCTTCTAACTTGTAACTATTTTTTTCATTCTTTGTCAGGTATAACTAGATCAGCTTTCTTTTGGTTAGTGTTTGCATGGCGTATCTTTCTTTCTTTCTTTCTTTCTTTCTTTTTTTGAGACATAGTCTTGCTCTGTCACCCAGGCTGAAGCGCAGTGGTACGATCTCAGCTCACTGCAACCTCTGCCTCCTGGGTTCAAGCAATTCTCCTGCCTCAGCCTCCCAAGTAGTTGGGATTACAGGCACCTGCCACCATGCCTGGCTAATTTTTCTATTTTTAGTAGAGATGAGGCTTCACCATGTTGGCCAGGCTGGTCTTGAACTCCTGATCTCAAGTGATCCGCCTACCTTGGCCTCCCAAAGTGCTGGGATTACAGGCGTGCGCTACCACACCTGGCCTTTTTTCATCATTACATTTCAACCTTTCTATCTTTGTATTTTAAAGGAGCATATATGTAATTGTTGTTGTTTTCTAGTCTGACAGTCTTTGCCTGTTACCTGGGCATTTAATGCTTTTGTATTTAATGTAACCTCTCATATATTTGGATTTAAATCTGCCCATCTTACTATTTGCTTTTTATTTGTCCCATTGGTTCTGTGTCCTCTTTTGTCTTCCTTAGTGCCTTCTTTTGATTGGCTACTTTTTATTCACTTGTTGGCTGTACATTCCTTTACTAAGATGATTACAAAATACATCTATGATTTTTCTCTCCCATTCTTTTTGTTCCTATCTCTTTGTCTTTATACAAACTTCTTTACTGTCAATAGGGGAGTGGTTAAGTAAGTAAAGTGCATCCATTTAGCAATAAAGAAACTACTTTTAGGTGAAAAAAGCAGTATGCAGAACAGTTTATGCTATGTCTAAAAAAGAGAAGATAGGATAAATTTTTTAGCTTTTTTATGCATAAAGACTCTCCAGATGGATACTCAGCAAGCCAATCACAATGGCTCCCCCTTTGGTGTAGTAACAGGAACTGAAGGTATACAGGATCTCTCACTACCTTAATAGAAGTAAAAAATTTTATTCAACCATGAGTGTGTGTTACCCGATCAAAAAATCGGATTAGAAAATAGTGGTAAAGTTCTTTTGATATTATATTGGGGAATTTAAGTGTCTGTGCTCAGTTTACCTTTTTTTTTTTGAGATGGAGTCTCATTCTGTCACCACCAGGCTGGAGTGCAGTGGCACAATCTCGGCTCACTGCAACCTATGCCTCCCAGGCTCAAGCGATTTTTCTGTCTCAGCCTCCCGAGTAGCTGGGTTTACAGGTGCCCAGTACCACGCCCAGCTTATTTTTGTATTTTTAGTAGAGACAGGGTTTCACCTTGTTAGCCAGTATGGTCTTGATCTCCTGACCTCATGATCCGCCTGCCTCAGCCTCCCAAAGTACTGGGATTACAGATGTGAGCCATTGCACCTGGCCCAGTCTACCATTTTTAACCAGAATTTTAAAAAATCATGGATTAAATCATACAGAAGATAATCTCCATAGTCATATATAGTGTAGCAGGTATTTATATTCCTCTGTCTTGCATGTCATTTTCTAAATGTCATACTATATACTATATGCTTTTTATCCTGCAAGTATTAATCATGAAAACCCAAGTTACTTTGTCTTTTGAGAAAAGTTACAATTTTACCCTTCTAAAGACAATTTTTGGTATTTTGTATTTTAAGAAATGTAAAGAATATCGTATCTAAAGATTAATTATGTTCATTTATTGAGAGCAGAGTGGGAAAACATTTCTTATCAGTGGTCTAAAGCCTATTCAGTGCTTCACTGAAAGAAAGCTAAACCTAAGGACCATGTGACATTTTATACTTTGGCTTTATGTAATTTATTGTTCTAAGTTACTGAGTTTAAGAAGGCTATGTGGGGTAAGGAGATAACTTTTTTAAAACATAGAATTTAATTTCTTCTTTCTAAGACTGTCTTAAGAATATCCTAGAGCAATTTGTGTTACAGGTTTTTAGTAAGATTCAGCTTGATGCCTTAAAAAAAATTACATCATCAACTTGTCTTAACTTACACAGGCAGGATAGCTTCCTGTTTTGTTTTGTTTGCAAAAAGTGTATGAAAATTGGCAGCTATAAAGAAAAGTTAACTATTTTTCTTTCATTTTGGTAGGTTTGAGAAATTTCTGTGGTTCATTAGCTCAGAGAACTATCTAATTATAGGTGGACGAGATCAGCAACAGAATGAAATAATTGTGAAAAGATACTTGACACCAGGTAGGTAAGATTAAAATATGGAAAAATTCTCTCTTCAGTCAATATTAGGCATTGATTTTCTTGTTGCACTCTTTTGTTTGATAGATTTAACTAGTAGAAAGATTTAATGCATGCTGGTTCATGGTTTGCTGAATATGTGTTTTGATGCTTAGATCTTAAGTGAGTATTCCTAGAGTGGTACTGCTGAGCTAATCTGCAGTGTTGGACTTGTGATGTTGTATTACATTAACAGAATAACTTTCAGTCCTCTAAAGTTATTGTGGGTCAAATTTTTAAAAGCTTACTGTTGCGGTGTTAGTTTGCAATCATTTCTCATACTTAGAATTAGGACTTGGCCAGGCGCGGTGGCTCACACCTGTAATCCCAGCCACTTTGGGAGACCAAGGCAGGCAGATCACCTGAGGTCAGGAGTCCAAGATCAGCCTGGCCAACATGGTGAAACCCTGTCTTTTCTAAAAGTACCTAAAAAATTAGCTGGGCATGGTGGTGTGCACCTGTCATCCCAGCTATTCGGGATGCTGAGGGAGGCTGAGGTGGGAGAATCACTTGAATCTTGGCAGTGGAGGTTGCAGTGAGCTGAGATTGTGCCGCTGCACTCTAGCCTGGGTGACAGAGCAAGACTCCATCTCAAAAAAAAAAAAAAAAAAAAAAAAAAAGAATTAGGACTTAAAATGTCATTTTTTATTTTTCTGTATTTAAGGAGACATTTATGTACATGCTGATCTTCATGGAGCTACTAGCTGTGTAATTAAGAATCCAACAGGTAATACATTTCTTTCTATTCAGAATTCCTGTTCCTTTCTTTAAATAATTTTTAATGTGACTGTAAGGCAAATATTAATAGAGGACCCAATGTGGTGGCTCATGCCTGTAATCCCAGCACTTTGAGAGGCTGAAGTGTGAGGGTTATTTGAGACCAGGAGTTTGAGACCAGACTGGGCAAGAAAGTGAAACCCTATCTCTACAAAATTTTTTTTAAAAGCTGGGTGCAGTGGCATACACCTGTAGTCCCAGCTACAGAAAGCTGAGCTAGGATGATCAGCTTGCGTGACAGAGTGACACACACACATACACACACACAGATATAATGATAAAAGGATCAGTCTATCAAGAAGTTATAGCAATTATAAACATATGTGTCTCTAATAACAGAGCCCTAGAATACATGAAGGAAACCTGACAGAAATGAAGGGAGGAAGAGATAGTTCTACAATAATAATGGAGGACTTCAATACTCAACTTTCAGTCATAGGTAGAATAACTGTACACAGAATCAGCAAGGAAATGGAAGACTTGAACAGCATTATAAACTAAATCTAATATCTCTAGAATACTCTGCCTAGCAACAGCAGACTACAGGTTGAGTATCCTATCTAAAATGCTTGGGACCAGAAGTGTTTTTAGATTTTGGAGTATTTGCATTATACTTACCAGTTGAGCATCCCAAATCCAAAAATCAGAAATTCAAAATGTTCCAAAACATTTCTAGCGAACTGCAGTGAGCGTTGTCTTTGAGTTATCATGCTGCACTAAAAAGTTACAGATTTTGGAGCATTTTGGAGTTTCAGATTTGGGATGCTCAACCTGTATTTATTCCTCTTAAGTGCATATGAAACATTCTCTGGGGTAGATCATAGGATAGTCTATAAAACACGCCTCAGTACATTTAAAACTATTGAAATTAGACAAAGTAAGTTTTCTGACTTATATAATGGGGTGACATTAGAAACCAATAATAGAAGAAAATGTTTTAAATTCATAAGTATGAATTAAATTAAACACCACAGTTATAAGTAACCAGTGGAACAAAGAGGAAGTCAAAAGATGTCACCAAACTCTTTGAGATGAATGAAATGAAAATACAATGTATCAAAACTTATGAGATGCAGGAAGAGCAGCCCTTGGGGGCAGTAGTTTATAGCTATAAATGCCTATATTTGAAAAGAGAGAAGATCTTAGATCAGTAACCTAACTTTGCACCTTAAGAGCTGGAAAGACAACCCAAAGCAAGGAGAAGGAAGAAAATAAAGATTAGAGTGAAAACGAATAAAACAGAGAATAGGAAAAAAAATAGAGAAAATGAACAAAACCCAAGTTGGTTCTTTGAAAAGATAAACAAAATTGATAAACCCTTGGCTAGACTGACCAAGAAAATAGAGGATTCGCATTCCTAAAATCAGGAATGAGATAGGGAACATTACTACTGACTTCACAGTTATCACAAGGATTATAAGGGAATATATGCCAACAGATTATATAACCAAATGAAATGGACAGATTTGTAGAAAGATGCAAACTAGTAAAACTGACTCAAGAAAAAACAAAGAATTGAAGTAAACCTGTAAGTACAGAGATTGGATTAATAATAAAGAAATTTTTTTTAAAAAATATTCATCAAAGAAAACCCTAGGCCAGATGGCTTCATTGGTGAATTATACCAAGAAGGTTGAATGCCAGTTCATCACAAACTCTTCCAAAAAATTAGGATTAAGGGGAACACTTCCTAACTCATTCTACAAGGCCAGTATTACAAAACCAAAGATAACACAAGAAAACTACAGACCAATACCAATTGTAAATATAGACACAAAAATCTTTGACAAAATATTAGCAAACTGAATCTAAGAGCATATTAAAGGGATTGTATACTATGACAAAGTAATTTATCTCAGGAATGAAAGGTTCGTTCAGTATATGGAAATTAATGTAATATAGTCTACTAATAAAGGACAAAAAACGTGCATGATTATCTCAACTGATAAAGAAAAACCATTTGACAAAATTCATCATCTATTTGCGATAAAAAAACACTCAGCAAACTAGGAATAGAAGGGAAATTCCTCAACTTGGTAAACAAGCATTTATGAAAAACCCACAGCCAGCAATCATAATTAGTACTGAAAGATTGGATGCTTTCCTCCTCCCATGAGAAACAAGACAAGTATGTTTGTTGTTGCCATTTCTATTTAACATTATACTGGTGATTCTATGTAGATCATTAGGCAATGAAAAGAAAAAATACCCAAGTTTGGCAGAAGTAAAACTACCTGTGTTTACAGTTGATATGATCACACACATTTAAAAACTAAAGAATCCACCGTAAGTTATCAGAGCTAATAAACAAGTTCAGCAATGTTCAGGATATGAGATCAATAAACAAAAATCAGTTGTATTTCTATACACTACCAATGAACAATCTGAAAAGGAAATTGATAAAACAATTCAGTGTATAATAACGTTAAAAAGAGGCCAGGCACGGTGGCTTATGCCTGTAATCACAGCACTTTGGGAGACTGAGGCCAGGAGATCACCTGAGGTCAGGAGTCCGAGACCAGCTTGACCAACACGGCAAAAGCCATCTCTACTAAACATACAAAAAAACTAGCCAGGCGTGGTGGCGGTTGCCTATAATCTCAGCTATTTGGGAGGCTGAGGCAAGAGAATTGCTTGAACCTGGGAGTCGGAGGTTGCAGTGAGCTGAGATAGTGCCACTGCACTCCAGCCTGGGTGATAAGAGCGACACTCCATCATAAAAAAAAAAAAAAAAATCACAAGATACTGCTTTATACCTAAGATGATTATAATGAAAAAATAGACAATAACAGATGTTGGTGATGATGGTGGAGAAAATAGAATACTGCTGGTGGGAATGGAAAATGATACAGCTGCTGTGGGAAATGGTTTGGCAGTCCCAAAAAATGTTAAACATAATTGACCCAGCAATTCTTCTCTTTGGTATATACCCAAGATAAGCAGAGGTATATGTCCACACAAAACTTATTTGCTGCAGGTATTGATAGCAGCATTATTTATAATAGCCAAGAAATGGAAACAATCCATATGTCATTCAATTAATGAATGAACAAAATGTAGTATGTCCACATAATGGAATATTATTCAGACTTAAAAAGAACAGAAGTACTTATATGTACTTTTAACATGGACGAGTCTTGAAAACATTAAGCTAAGTGAAAGAAGCCAAACATATAACACTATGTATAATTACATTTTAAAAAAATTTTTCTCCCCTCCCCATCTAATTACATTTATATTAAATGTCCAAAATGGGCAAAACCATAGAGACAGAAAATAGATTAATGATTGCCAGGGCCTGGGTACAGAGGAGAAATGGGGTGTGGCTACTAATGAATATAGGGTTTCTTCTCTGGGATGATGAAAATGTTGTGGAATTAATTGGTGTTGATCATCACATAGCATTATGAAAAAACAAAAAGCCATAGAATTGTATACTTTACAGGGGTGAATTTTATGGCATATGAACTATACCCCAATTTAAAAGTGTTTGAAATCTAACCATAAGGGACATATTAATCATATGTTCTTCATTTTGATGGTTCAGCCAAGCTATTTTAATTTTGGAATTCTTCAAACTTTAAATGGATTTCTCTAAATAATCTTTTCTGTAATGAAGTTAGAATTATTGATGGAGAGGGCATTTCTTCTCTGACATGTTATATTTACATAGGTCATTTAAAAGCTTGCTCTGTAAATAGCAATATCAAAAATACATTTTTAATATAAATAGTAGCTTTTTATAATGGTAAAATAAAAACATATTAGTATTTAAGATACATGAATGACTTTGTCATGTAGGTATGTGATTTTCATACCTTGCTCTGGAGAAAGTCCACACTTTGGTATTGAAACATTATGGATTGTTATTCCAGGAGAACCCATTCCCCCACGGACCTTGACTGAAGCTGGCACAATGGCACTTTGCTACAGTGCTGCTTGGGATGCACGAGTTATCACTAGTGCTTGGTGGGTGTACCATCATCAGGTAATAAGGGCTGTTGTCCTTTTTCTTAACTTACTAAGAGCTACTGTGTGCCAAATTTTGAGAGCATAGAAGTAAATAAAGCAGACAAGGCTGTACTTTTGATAGAGCTAACATTTTGTTGGTAGAGGAAAAAAATACGTACATAATGTCTGTCAGGTCATAAGTGCCATAAAATATGTATTTTTAAAAGCAGGGAAGGGGATAGAGAGTGATAGGGGCTACCGTTTTGGATGAAGTATTGGAAGAACCTTTCTGGAAGGATTTGAGCAGAGAAGTAAATGAAGTAAATGAAGAGAGTGATCCCCACAGTTATACAGGATAGAGAATGTTCCAGTTATTATTGATCATTATTGGCATACTGACCTAAAAGGCCTTTCTCCTGTTCATCTTTGTTGGAATATTCTGAATTCTCTTGAGCCCTTCCAGAAAAGTAGGTATATCCTGTTTTTTGTTTGTTTGTTTGTTTTGTTTTGTTTTGTATTTACTTGGTTTTAGTAATTGCCCTTCTTTGTGATTAATGATGTTACTGTGTGGTTTTTTTTTTTTTTGTATGTTTTTTTTTCTTTGTAGAGATGGGGTTTTACCATGTTGGCCAGGTTGTTCTTAACTCCTGACCTCAAGTGATCCTCTTATCCCAGCCTCCCAAAGTGCTGGGATTATAGGGGTGAACCACGGCACCCAGCCAGTGCTGTTCAGTTTAGTGATACTTCGTTCTGTATTTGACCTCACATTGTTATTGATTTCTTATTATACTTTTGAGAATTCTAATTGATGATGATGTACTTTTACAAGTTTCTAAAGCTGTACAGCAGGATAAAGAGTTCAGTTTCACTATACTCGCTTAGATTTAATTTCATTATCTGCTGTGCTGCGATATTGTCATATTGGGAGATTATAAATTGCTACCTCAATACTGTTATAAAAGTGGTTTTGGCCGGGCGTGGTGGCTCAAGCCTGTAATCCCAGCACTTTGGGAGGCCGAGGCGGGTGGATCATGAGGTCAAGAGATCAAGACCATCCTGGTCAACATGGTGAAACCCCGTCTCTACTAAAAATACAAAAAATTAGCTGGGCATGGTGGCGCGTGTCTGTAATCCCAGCTGTTGGGGAGGCTGAGGCAGGAGAATTGCCTGAACCCAGGAAGCGGAGGTTGCGGTGAGCCGAGATCGCGCCATTGCACTCCAGTATGGGTAACGAGCGAAACTCCGTCTCAAAAAAAAAAAAGTGGTTTTAATTCTTTTATTAAGAAAATTTTTAGAATGAAATTTAGTGTGTTTTTAATCCCTTGCTGGTTTGTTGTTGTTGTTGTTGTTGTTTGTTTTTGATGGAGTCTTGCTCTGTTGCCCAGACTGGAGTGCAGTGGCACAATCTCTGCTCACTGCAGCCTCTGCCTCCTGGGTTCAAGTGATTCTCCTGCCTCTGCCTCCCGAGTAGCTGGGATCACAGGTGTGCGCCACCACACCTAGCTAATTTTTCTATTTTTGTGGAGATGGGGTTTTGCCGTCTTGGCTAGGCTTGTCTCAAACTCCTGACCTGAAGTGATCCTTCTCCCTCTGTCTCTGAAAGTGCTGGGATTACAGGCGTGAACTAACACACCTGGCCCCTTGAAATTTTAATAACTATGACTAATAAAGTTACTCTCAAGATCTGGGGGTTTCACAGATGTATAAAATTTTTTTTTAATTGTGGGATAAAGTTGACTCACTTTCTGTTTTTGCCAAAGTAGGATATATTTTTAAAAATCTGCTATCGTCTTTATTTTGTAAAGTAAAACGTTACTTTATTATTAAAAACAGTATCTTAGAAAAAGATCTTATTTAGTAAACAGAGCTTTCTTTTAGTAAACATAGCTTTATGATAAGCACATTAAACTATCCTTAGTTTTCTCATTATATCTCCTGCTGGAAGAGATGAGTAGACCAGTTCTGGCTGTCATTGCTGGGCGTGGTGCCTCACACCTGTAATCCCAGCACTTTGGGAGGCCAAGGCAGGTGGATCACAAGGTCAGGAGTTTAAGACCAGCCTGGCCAACATAGTGAAACCCTGTATCTACTAAAAATACAAAAACTAGCCAGCATAGTGGTGCATGCCCGTAATCCCAGTTCCTTGGGAGGCTGAGGCAGGAGAATCTCTTAAACCCAGGAGGTGGGGGTTGCAGTGAGCCGAGATCGTGCCACTGCACTCTAGCGTGGGCAACAGAGTGAGACTTTGTCTCAAAAAAAATAAGATAAAATTGGCCGGGTGTGGTGGCTCACGCCTGTAATCCCAGCACTTTGGGAGGCCGAGGCAGGCCTCCCAAATCACCTGAGGTATGGGAGTTTGAGACCAGCCTGACCAACATGGAGAAACCCCATCTCTACTAAAAATACAAAAAATTAGCCAAGAATGGTGGCACATGTCTGTAATCCAAACTACTCAGGAGGCTGAGGTAGGAGAATCACTTGAACCTGGTGGGCAGAGGTTGTGGTAAGCTGAGATCGCGCCATTGCACTCCAGCCTGGGCAAGAAGAGCGAAACTCCATCTCAAAAAAGGAAAAAAAGAAAATTATTGATGTAGTGACTCCTTTATTATTTCTTTGTTACTTCCAAAGGGTTATCTGTCATTAAACGGATTATCTTTTCCCTTCAGTATTTAGAATTTTTGCTAAATTACAAACTTTTTAGGAGACAGTGTGGCTTACTTGACTCTGACTTTACTTTCTTCTCAAGTTTAAAAAAAAATCCAGCGTATTTTAAATAATAAGAATATTATTGTGTTCTTCAGGTATCTAAAACAGCACCAACTGGAGAATATTTGACAACAGGAAGCTTCATGATAAGAGGTAATGACTTGACGGGAAAAATACCCCTACACTTGTTAGTGGATTATGGAGACATGTTTGAGGACAATTTACAAATACTCTCAGAACAGAAACTAATTACCCAGTTTTCCTATATGAAGTCTGTTATGAAGTAAGGAAATTTTTGCCTTGATGCGGCAAGTTGACTATTTGTCATATCTTCTTCATGTATATTTTTATTGAGAGGAATGCACTTTTTCACAGAGTTTAGTTATAAGGGTAAGAAAGTATAGCCTAAACTTATTTCTGAAAATAGAATATTCGGGGTCTGACTAACCCAGAAAATATCAGACCAAGCATGTATTTTTTTTTTTTTCTTCTTAATTGTTCCCTATACATACGGCCCAGTTCTATAAATGGGAAATGTTATTCATGACATAGTAAAAGACAATGGATATGACAATTTAATGTCATCTGACACTAATTTTTTTTTTGTTTTGCAAGCAAAACCTGGAGAAAATTGATTTTTAAAGCATGTATGTACATTATCTTTTGTAGGAAAAAAGAATTTTCTTCCTCCTTCATATCTAATGATGGGATTTAGCCTCCTTTTTAAGGTACTCTTCAGCTTCTTGGTTATTTATCTATTTTTTCCTGATTTTCATTAGTCTTATCTAAAGCTCCATCACTGAAAAATAACTATTTCTTTAGGTAGATGAGTCTTGTGTTTGGAGACATCGGGGTGAGCGAAAAGTCAGAGTACAGGATGAAGACATGGAGACGCTGGCAAGTTGCACAAGTGAACTCGTATCAGAAGAAATGGAACAATTAGGTAGTTTATAGATTTTAAGAAATTAGCTTGTGATTTTTTTTGTTATTTAGTTTTGCTTCTAAATCCTTAGATTATGTCTCTTTTGGGATAATCTAAATATCAAAAAATACCCCAAAACTCAAAGTACTTGCTGTCAGTTTTACTGAATTTTGTTTTTGGAAATGCTAAATATACTTATTCTAGTGAATTTAAAATTATTTATTGGGCTGGGCGTTGTGGCTCATCCCTGTAATTTCAGCTCTTTGGGAGGCCAAGGCAGGTGGATTGCTTGAGCTCAGCTCAGGAGTTTGACACCAGCCTGGGCAACATGGCAAAACCCCATCTCTACAAAAAAAAATCAGCCAGGTGTTGTGAGCGCCTGTAGTCCCAGCTATTCAAGAGACTGAGGTGGGAGGATGGCTTGAACCTGGGAGGCAAAGGTTACAATGAGCCTAGATTCACCACTGCCACTGCACTCTAACCTGGGCAACAGAAAGAGACCCTGTCTCGAAAAAAAAAAAAAAAAAAAAAAAAAAGTAATTGGATCCATACTAACATACTTTAATATATGTTTATATAGTGAAACTTCAGTGTTGAATGATAAATGCATAAATGTGTTTAATAAAGATAGAAGATAGACTTGGGTACATGTGGATTAGCATTTACTTTTGGGTTTAGGAATTAGAAGTGATAGATGAATTTATAACAAGTGCAGTTTCTAATATGACAATTTGGCTTGATTTAATAAAATATTTGTTTTAAGTAGAGAGCAATTATACTTGCTGGAATAAATTTACCTGCCTACCCTAAGGGAACGAGGGAAAATACTCTAAACTACTTTTGTAGTTATTCTCTCTCCTAAGGTCATTCCTTTTTACAGGTATTATTGCATTGTCTCATTTACTATTACTGTTGTTCTGCAAGGTTCCATTGATTCAGGCTCACCGTGTACCTGGGATTATATAAAGTGCCTTATTTGCATTATTTTTTATTCTCACAACCACCCTTGTCAGATGAGTGGTGGCATTTCATTTTGCAGGTGAAGCAGTAGTGCAGGTGAACACTACTATTAGACAGCGTTCATTTTGCAAAAGAATGAGCACCTGCTATGTGTGAGTTATATAACATGTATTTAAGTTTTCGTATGCACATTATAAAAGCAGCAACAGTTATACAACGATTTTACTGTGTTGCTTTTTGGAAATATCCAACTGAGGCAAAGTTGTGGTTTTCCTTGTTGAAAGGGTAGCAGTGTCCAAAGAAATTTCTTGTGGTAAAGGATCTTGGAGATCATTTAATTCAACCTATTCATGATACAGGCTATTCTTTTGTCTAAGAGTACTGTTTGGGAATGATCAGGCATTTTTCTGGTGATCTTCTGGAGAAATATGGGAGAGACAGTCAATGGAATATTTTTACGAAGTTTTCAGGAAATCACCTGGCTTGGTTGGTAGTCCCACACTGACTTTCCTTATGGTAATTCCACAGATGGAGGTGACACTAGCAGTGAGGAGGATAAAGAGGAACATGAAACTCCTCCTGTAGACATAGAACTCATGACTCAGGTTGACCAAGAGGATATCACTGTTCAGAGTGGTAGAGAAGAACTAAATGAGGAACTCATTCAGGAAGAAAGCTCTGAAGATGAAGGAGAATATGAAGAGGTTAGAAAAGATCAGGACCTTGTTGGTGAAATGAAGGATGAAGGGGAAGAGACATTAAATTACCCTGATACTACCATTGACTTGTCTCACCTTCAGCCTCAAAGGTAATTTAAAAATCTAATTTTAGGTATTATTGTGTAAGCTGAGAATGATGATGAGGTAATCCTTACAAAGATAATACCAAAATTTACATCAGTACTTTTACCCTCCATTGTCTTACTACTTTTTCACCATTTGATTGCGTCTCTGCAAAGAAAGTCCCAGAACCATGGTAGAAAAATACAGTGAATATAAAGTGGCCAAACTACATCCAAATAGAAACAAGTAAATGGTCATAAATGCTAAAAACATAACAAAGGCAATTCCATCAAAGAAATGTGTTTTAGTCTATATAATGTCTCACAGATCATCAGGTGAATAGTCCATAGTTATAAATGCATTATTAATGGGGTAATTCAGAAGAGCCTGGGAGTCAGACACATGAGTATTTCATCTTAGGGTGTGTCCTGGGGAAGTTACTTCTTGTTTCAGCTTCAGTTTCCTTCTTGGTGAAAACAGAATGGTATCCCTTTCATAGGATTTGGTGAAGGTTTTATGCATGTATGCCTTCTGATAGTGCCTGACACAGTAAATTTTCAATGCATGTCTCCTATTTAAAAATGTATATGGAAGTGTGGAGAGAGAAGCAGTTTGATTGTATGTTTTTCTAACTTTACAAATTTGAAAATTTGTTGGATTGCCGGTATTTAAGAATATGATATAGGAATGTTTTGGGACTTTGTAAATGAATACTTTTTACAGGCTTATAGAGACTCCCTTCTGTTTCATAGGTCCCTCCAGAAGTTGGCTTCAAAAGAGGAATCTTCTAATTCTGTAAGCTCTTTTCACATTTTTATGAAGAATATCCTATTCTCAATGAATACTTTTCTACTTTTTAAGTTTTCTTAAAAAAAAAATTAATAGCAGTGTTGTTTGCATTTGCCTATTATTTTAACAGAGTGACAGTAAATCACAGAGCCGGAGACATTTGTCAGCCAAGGAAAGAAGGTAAACACATCTGTGTTATCTAACTAAAAAAGCATGTTTTTTTTTTTTAATTGACAGCTATCACAGATTACTTAGCTGTTTAAAGACTTCCTTCAGTAAATTTACCAAGATTTACCACAAATTTTTAGTTTTTAATGTTAAGCTCTAACACATTTTTCTGTTTAAGGGCTGTAATCTGTCACTATAATCAGTGAAATAGATCTAGTAGAGTAGTCCTCACTTAACATTTCCTTTCTGGCTGGAATGCAGTGGCACTGTCATGACTCACTACAGCCTCAAATTCCCAGGCTCAAGCAGTCTCCTGCTTCAGCTTCCCGAGTAGCTGGGAATACAGGCGCGTGCCACTACAAAAATTTTTATATTTTTTTGTAGAGCTGGGGTTTCATCATGCTGCCCAGGCTGGTATTGAACTCCTCAGCTCAAGTGATCCTCCCACCTTGGCCGCCCAAAGTGGTGGGATTACAGGCATGAGCCATCATGCCTGGCCTTCACTTAACATTTTCAATAGGTTCTTGGAAACTTGGACTTTAAGGGAAACAAAGTATAATGAAGCCAATTTTGCCATGGGCCAATTGATACAAACAGGAGTTAAGTTCCTCCATCGTATTTTTGGTCACAAAACCATCACCAAACTTCTAAATAAAGACCAAAAACCCTTCTAATATTAAACATTGAAGTAAGTGTAAACTGTACGTGCATTTAAGGAGGTTTAATAAAAGCAAGCAAGATAATTGTTTACCCAATTTTTGGTGAATTAGTGAGTGATGGCAGTTGTAGTAGTGGATTAAATCAAGGACTGTTTGCAAAGTGAAAGTTGTAGAGGACCTCCTCCCACCTTGAGGTTCAAAAACAGTAACAAATATGGTAGATTCATTAAAAACATTTTCATACTACATTGTTTATTGTACTTTTGTAGGACTGTTTACTTTATGAATTTTTGACTGTCATTTATATTAATTCATTCATTTGTTTTTCAACTGCTTATTCCTGTTAAGGATCATTGGTGGCCAGAGCCTATCCTGGCAGATGAGGGCAAAAGGCCAGAACCAACCCTGAATAGGAAGTCATTCCACTGCAGGGCACGCATACCTGCACTCACTCATGCTGGGATAATTTAGAAATCATCTGGCATGAAAAATGCCAGTTAACCTAACATGTGCATTTTGGGATGGGAAAGAAAACCTGAGTACCTGGTGAAAACCCACAGACATGGAGTGAATATGTAAATTCTGCACAGACAGTGGCCGTGGCCAGGAATCAGTTTTGTTCTTATCAAAGTTATAACAAAATGATGTTGAATGAAATGATGGTATTTGAGGACTTGCTGTAATAAGACCTTTTATTATATAAACATGTACAAAAATGATTGCAGTGTATTACATAGACTGGTTCTAGGATAATATTGGCAGGAATAAATAGGAATATCTGAAATTAGGAAAGGTTTTTTTTTTTTTTTTTTTTAAGACAAGAGTCTCGCTCTGTCACCCAAGCTGGAGTGCAATCTCGTGATCTCAGCTCGCTGCAAACTCTGCCTCCTGGGTTCAAGCGACTCTCCTGCCTCAGCCTCCCAAGTAGCTGGGACTACAGCCGTGTATCACCACACTGGGCTAATTTTTTCTATTTTTAGTAGAGATGGGGTTTCACTGTGTTAGCCAGGATGGCCTTGATCCCATGACCTTGTGATCCACCCGCCTCAGCCTCCTAAAGTTTGGAGTCCTGGATTCAGGAAGTAGTCATAAATATGCAAATGGTATCTGAAAGTGATAAAGTAGTTCAAGAGTAAGAGACTGCTGTGAGTTCAGGTGTTTGGGGAAATAACATCAGAAGTACACATTGAAAGATACGTTAGCAGTTACATAAACAAAGGAGAATTAGCATTAACAAAGGGGAGTGCTTCTTTGGGGTAACATGCATACTGCTTTACGGAAATGATAAATAGACTGAGATAGAAGGAAGAGAAAGTTTATTAAATGGTAGAGGATATGATTGGAGAAGTAAATTTGGACTAAAAGCGGAGCCCTTAAAAGCTAAGGGTTTTGGACTCTGCCCTTTAAATTGATACGAAGAGAATGTGACATAGGCAAACAATTAAGGAAGATTAATATAGAAGTTAATGGCCAGGTGTGTTGGCTCATGCCTGTAATTCCAGCACTTAGGGAGGTTGAGGTAAATGGATCACATGAGATCAGGAGTTTGAGGCCAGCCTGACCAACATGGTGAAACCCCATTATCTACTAAAAATACAAAATTAACTGGGCGTGGTGGCACAAGCTCCATCTTGTTCAGATTATGTAGATTCTGTAGGAAGTCTGGGTGGGATGTAATGAAGACCTGGACTAAGGTGTTGGCATTGGGAAAAGAAAGAAAAATATCACAGTAATAAAATTTACCCTTTCTTCTTAATCTGTATAAATTTTAATTCATTTAGTCAACCAACCAGTCAACAAATGTTTCTTTGAATGCCTAAGACCTGCCAAGACTATGTTGATACAAAGACTACTCATCCCAGTGCGGGGCCCTCAAGGTATTCAGGGGCTAAATGTGCCTAGTGAGTAAGGATGAGTTGGGGTGACAATATGTTGACCTTGGATGATGGAAAGAAAGATAAATTCATGAGAGAAGAAAAATTTTTATCTTTTTCCTGTGTGATGATTTTGAGCATCTTCGTGTATGGTGATTATCAAGTTAAGCAGAAACCATGATTGCTTATGTATTATATATGTGCCCTTTCCCATATAACTTTTTTAGGGCACTAAGAATTTGAAATTGTAAGAATGAGATGTTTTGGTATCATTTTTATTCAGGGAAATGAAAAAGAAGAAACTTCCAAGTGACTCAGATTTAGAAGTGATAGAGGGAAAGGACAAAGAAAAAGAAATTACTGTGCACGTTGAAACTCATCAGAACACAAGCAAGAATGTTACAGCTGTGCAGCCAATGAAACGAGGACAAAAGGTAAACTTCAGAATGATCTATATGGTTCACAGTTAAGTTGTGAGGTTCCTTTTAATGTTTTAAAGTTGAAGTGAAATAGGAAATGTAAGCCAAAAAATAATCCTGTGTGATTTCCTTTGACTAAAAATTGAGTAAATACAGCATTTAGGGAACAGAGATCACCATTAAAAGTTCTTTAGATTTTTAAGATCATCTGCCCAGAAACTCTCATTCTACTCAAAGAGAAATAGTAGATTATGGTTTGTCAAAGTCACCCCGCTAGTTAAGTTGCAGAGCTGATATTTATTGAGAATTTAGCTCGACAATTTTTCAGTTACCAATGTGATTTTGGTTAGGGTTCTTACATATTTTACTAAAGTTGGATGATGAAGAAAGAAGTACTTGTGATAGAACATACTTTTTCCACACTTCCTCCCCTCCTCTAACTCCCCCAAGATGGAGTCTTGCTCTGTCACTCACTCCAGAATGCAGCGGCGCAGTCAAGGCTTACTGCAGCAGCCTTAACTCCTGGCCTCAAGTGATCTTCCCTCTCAGTCTTCCAAGTAGCTGAGACCACACTGATGCTTGCTATTAAAAAATTAATAAAAAATTAGTGAAATTTTTAAGTTTTTTATAGAGATGGGGTCTATATTGTCCAGGCTGGTCTCAAACTCCCAGACTCAAGTGATCTTCCTGCCTCACCCTCCCAAAGTGCTGGGACAAGAGGTGTGTTAGCCATCATGTCTGGTTACAATGTAATACACTCTGCAAAATGCTATAGCAGCAGGTGCAGTGACTCATGGCTGTAATCCCAGCACTTGGGGAGGCCAAGGTGGGTGGATCACTTGAGGCCAGGAGTTCAAGCCCAGCCTAGCCAACATGGTAAAATCCCATCTCTACTAAAAGCACAAAAATTGATTTATGTCTCTTCATGATAAAAGAAAAAACAAAAAAAGTACAAAAATCAGCCAGGCATAGTGGTACATGCTTGTAGTCCCAGCTACTCAGGTGGCTGAGGCAGAAGAATTGCTTGAACCCGGGAGGCAGAGGTTGCAGTGAGTCAAGATCACGCCACTGTACTCCAGCCTGGGTGACATGGTAAGATTCTGTCTAAAAAAAAAAAAAAAAAAAAAAAAAAAATGCTGTAGCAATACAAAAATGAGGGGATTGCGGGCTAATTTATTAATGTATCTCTTTTAAAATTTAAATTTCTTTGCAATCTTTTCTTTTTTTTTTTTTTTAAGAGATAGGGTCTTGCTGTATTGCCCAGGCTGTAGTATAGTGGCTGTTTACAGGCATGTTTGTAGTATACTACAGCTTTGGACTTCTGGGCTCACACAGTCCTACCACAGTCTCCCAAATAGCTGGGACCACAAGTCCATGCCACCACACTTGGCTATAATCTTTATAAAAATGTTTTGTGATCTTCCCTTCATCCATAGAGGTCAGATTTTCCTAATTTTTTTCCAGTGAGCTGCAAATAAATGGACATGTGTATAAGGCAGGGAAGACTCAACATAATAAAAATATAAATTCTCCTCATATATAAATTCAACATGACTTTAATCAGAATTGAGATTTTAATGCTTGATAAAATAATTGTGAAGTTATTTTAAAAGGAGTAAACGCTTGAGAATAGCTAAGGAAATGAGGGATTTCCCTATGAGTCGTAAAATAATGTTAGAATTTTTGCAACAGTATGTTATTAACATGGGAATAACTAGACAGAAAAGTGAGACAATAAAATCTAGACACTGGATCACTACCTGATACTTAACATTTTAGTATGTGATAAAATTACAGATCATTTAAGAAGATATGAAATATTCAAAATGATGGCTAACCATGCGAAAACAGTACCACAGTAAATTCCAGGTGGTGAAAGAAAAGACCCATCAATAAAATTAAAAAACAAATGGCAAATCTGGAAAAAAAAAAAAAAGTGATGAAAGAAATGCCGTATAAACCTGAGGATTTTTTTTTTACTCATTAAATTAATAGGTACCACGTTGTCAGTCATTCAGTAAATGTTTGCGTGTACAACATGGGAATTCCCATCAAAAGTTGTAACAGCACTTCTGCCCTTTGACTCAGCAATTCCTCCTTTTTTTTTTTTCTTTTCATGAGACGGAGTCTCACGCTGTTGCCAGGCTGGAGTGTCGTGGCGAGATCTCGGCTCACGGCAGTCTCCGCCTCCTTGGTTCAAGCAATTCTCCTGCCTCAGCTTCCCGAGTAGTTGGGAGTACTGGTGCGTGCCACCACGCCCGGCTAATTTTTTGTATTTTTAGTAGAGACAAATTTCACTGTGTTAGTCTTCTGACCTTGTGATACGCCTGCCTCAGGCTCCCAAAGTGCTGGGATTACAGCCCTGAGCCACGCGCCTGGTCACCCCACCTATTTTTAAAACTTTCATTTCCTAATTGTTAGTTGCTAGTAAATGGGAAGACAGCTTTCATGTTAATCTAGTAATGGGCAATTTTATAGAGCACTTGCTAATTTTAATACTTCATCTGTAGGCAGTCATATTGTCTGCAAATTGCGGCTTTTCTTCTAGTCCTAGTATCTTTTTATTTTCTCCATGTTTTTTGCAGTGACTGAAAAGCAAAACTATAGTGTTTCATGGAAATAGTAATAGTGTGTATCTCTGTTAATTCCATTAAAGGAACTGTTTCTAAGATTATATCATTGTGGGATGTTTCCTGTGAGTTGGAGGACACCTTTTTGCAAATTTTTGTTTGTTTGCAACGGAGTCTCACTGTCACCCAGGCTGGAGTGCAATGGTGCAATCTCGGCTCACTGCAACCTCCTCCTCCCAGGTTCGAGCAATTCTCCCGCCTCAGCCTCCTGAGTAGCTGGGGTTATAGGTGCTCACCACCACACCTGGCTAATTTTTGTATTTTTAGTAGAGATGAGTTTTACCATGTTGACTGGGCTGGTCTCAAACTCCTGACTTCAGGTGACCTGCCCGCCTTGGCCTCCCAAAGTGCTGGGATTACAACCATGAGCCACCATGCCCAGCCTGAAAGTTATTTTTAATAATGATGAGTTAAATGTTACTGAATGGTTTTTCTGTATCTATTGCATTCTTTTTTTTTTTTTTGAGACAAGGTCTCACTCTGTTGTCCAGGCTGGAATGCAGCGGTATGGTTATGGCCCACTGCAGCCTCAATCTCTTGAGCCTAAACAATCTTTCTACCTCAGCTTCCCAAAGAGCTGGGATCAGAGGCTTGTGCCACCATGCCTGGGTAATTTATTTTTATTTTTATTATTTGTAGAGATTGGGTCTTGCTATTTTCCCAGGCTGGGCTTTAACTCCTAGGGTCAAATTATCCTCCCACTTTGGCCTCTGAAAGTGCTAGAATTACAGGCATGAGCCACCAAGCCCAGCCTATTGCATTTTTTTCTTGATTAATCAGTCAATATGGTATATTACTTGAGAAAAATCTATTAATTGGCCTCCAATTTCTCATACTTTCTCTGCCTGGTTTTTGTGTCTACATTATACCAGTTTCATAAAATAAGTTTAGGACCTTTTCCTCTTTTTCTGCTTTCTAGAACTTTGTATGAAATGGAGATTGTGGCCAGGCACAGTGGCTCATGCTTGTAATCCCAGCACTTTAGGAGGCTGAGACAGGTGGATCACCTGAGGTCAGGAGTTTGAGACCAGCCTGGCCAACATGGTGAAACCCCATCTGTACTAAAAATACAAAAATTAGCCGGGTGTGGTGACTCACGCCTCTAGATCCCATCTTCTCAGGAGGCTGAGGAAGGAGAATGGCTTGAGCCTGGGAGGCAGAGGTTGTAGTGAGCCGAGGTTATGCACTGCACTCCAGCCTGGGCAACAGAGCAATACTGTCAAGAAAAAAATGGAGATTTTTCCTTGAAGCTGGATAGCATTTGCGTATAAAACTAGACCTAATGTTTTGGGTTTTGTGAGAGTTTTGTTTTTTAATTTTAGACTGGGCCTCACTTTGTTCCCAGGCTGGGATGTAGTGTCACAATCTTGGCTCACTGCAGCCTTGACCTCCTAGGCTCCAGCAGTCCTCCCACCTCAGCTTCCCTCGTAGCTGGGACCACAAGGTGTGCTGCCATGCCCAGCTATTGTGAGGAGGTTAAGTACTAATCTGAGTTTCTGTAATGAGTTTAGGTTTATTCAGGTTTTCTGGGATTTTTTTTAAGTGGGCTTTCCAAAGTTGTATTTTCTAAGAAATTCTTTTCTCATCAGGTTTTCCATTTCTCAGTCTAGTTTATTGGTAACAATATTAATTTTTTTCTCAATTTTTTTGAGGTACGGCATACATAATAGTAAAATGCATAGATCTTAAGTTTTTGGCTCAGTGAATTTTCATAAGCACCCACATCTGTGAAACCACCACCCAGATCCAGATACTTGGAATCTTTCCAACATCCCAGAAGGCTCATACTTGCCACTTTCTAAGAATATCCCCACATGACTTTTTTGTTTTTTGAGACAGAGTTTCACTCGTTTCCCAGGCTGTAGTGTAACAGCACGATCTTGGCTCACTGCAACCTCTGTCTCCCGGGTTCAAGCGATTCTCATGCCTCAGCCTCCCAAGTAGCTGGAATTACAGGCATGTACCACCGGCCCAGCTAATTTTTTTTGCATTTTTGGTAGAGACGGGGGTTTCGCCATACTGGTTAGGCTGGTCTTGAACTGCTGACCTCAGGTTATCCACCTGGCTGACCTCCTAAAATGTTGAGATTACAGGCATGAGCCACTGTGCCCGGCTCCCACATAACTTTTGGATTCACAAGTATGCATTTCTATTTATATACCTATGAGTGGAATTTGCTGGGTTGTGGCATACATGTTATGTTTGGCCTTATTAGGTACTGCCAATCAGTTTTCCAGAGTACTTGTATCAATTTTCCACCAAGCAGTGTGTGAGAGTTCCAGTTCTACGCCATCCTTAGTAACACTTGGTATTGTCCGGTTTTCTTTTTTCAGTCATTGAAGTGCGATACATCTGATACCTCATTTGGCTTTTATTTAATCTCCTTGATGACTAATGATATTGAACACTTTCTCATGTTTAGTAGATCTTTGTATATCCTCTTTTTGAAGTGACTGTTTAAAAAATTGGTTTGTCATATCTTTCTAGTTGATATCTAAAAGTTCTCTGAGGCCGGGTGCGGTGGATCACAAGGTCAAGAGATCGAGACCATCCTGGTCAACATGGTGAAACCCCGTCTCTACTAAAACTACAAAAAATTAGCTGGGCATGGTGGCGCATGCCTGTAGTCCCAGCTACTCAGGAGGCTGAGGCAGGAGAATTGCGTGAACCCAGGAGGTGGAGGTTGCGGTGAGCCGAGATCGCACCATTGCACTCCAGCCTGGGTAACTAGAGCGAAACTCCGTCTCGGGAAAAAAAAAAAAAAAAAATTAGCTGGGCATGGTGGCGCATGCCTGTAATCCCAGCTACTCAGGAGGCTGAGGCAGGAGAATTGCCTGAACCCAGGAGGCGGAGGTTGCGGTGAGCCGAGATCACGCCATTGCACTCCAGCCTGGGTAACAAGAGCGAAACTCTGTCTCATAAATAAATAAATGAATGAATGAATGGATGAATGAATGAATGTTCTCTGTAATCCTGAATAAAAGTTCTTTCTTGGATATATGTATTGTAAGTGCTTTTCACACTTTGGGGCTTGCTTTGTTTCACTTTTGTAATAATGTTTTTTGATGAGTAGCATTTTAAAATTCTAATTAAGTCTGATTTATCAATCCTTTCTCTTATGGTGTTTCTGTCCTGTTTAAAGAAGACTTTTTTTTTTATTTGAGACAGAGTCTCACCCTGTCACCCAGGATGGAGTACAATGGCATGATCTTGGTTCACTGCAACTTTTACCTCCTCCTGCTTCAGCCTCCCATGTAGCTGGGATTACAGGCAGCTGTCACCATGCCCAGTTAATATTTGTATTTTTAGTAGAGACAGGGTTTCACTATGTTGGCCAGGCTGGTCTCAAACTCCTGACCCCATGATCCACTGGCCTCAGCCTCCTAAATTATTGGGATTACAGGCGTGAACCACCGTACCCAGCCAAGAAGTCTTTACAACTTTAGAAATGTGTTATTTGGGTCCCAGCTAATACAGTTAATCAAGACAAAAGTCTCTAGGGTGGAGCCTAGATGTTTATAGTTTAAAACCCTTAGAGTGGTTTGGGTATGTAATCAGGGTAAAGAATCCTTGGTTTATGTAATAAAATTCAGAGTCTTGAAAGCCTCTAGAATAAGTGCCTACCCTAGCTTTGCTGCTTTATTTCCTTTTCTTCCTCTATGTGTACCCCGACTCCAGCCAAATGTGATGACTTGCTGTTACTGATTACTATTCTCTCCCTTTTTAGACTGTCTTTTCCAGTACTGTTTTACTTTATTTCTTCCTCACAGCTCTTTATGTTGTGTTAATTTATCCTTAGTTCTCTATGTATCTTCTCTCCACCCTATGGTAAATTCCTTGAGGACAAGAACTTCGGTTATCCATCCTTGTAGCCTGCATATTGTTTCGTATAACGGTGCCTTATTCAGTAAGCATTTTTGACAGAGAATGTAAAGTAGCACCTTTTCTAAGTGTGTGTTGACATTTTTGTACTGCTGAATTTTTCCAACAAAAATCTTCTGATTTTCTAGAGTAAAATGAAAAAAATGAAGGAAAAATACAAAGACCAGGATGAAGAAGACCGTGAACTTATCATGAAATTGCTGGGGGTAAATAATATCTAAAAACATTTCTTCTTTTGCTTTTCAAATGGGCATCTAGTCCACTGCTTAGCATATGACAGGCATTCAGTACATTCTTGTTAAACTATTGACAGTATTGAAAATACTGACAACAATGAACAATGTTTCCTTTATGAATTAAAGTCTGCAGGTTCAAACAAAGAAGAAAAAGGGAAGAAGGGGAAGAAAGGAAAAACAAAGGATGAACCTGTGAAGAAACAGCCCCAGAAACTCAGAGGTGGAGAAAGGGTCTCTGACAACATTAAGAAAGAAAGTCCATTTCTTGAGGTTATTACTCATGAGTTACAAGACTTCACTGTAGATGATCCACATGATGACAAGGTAAGGCTACTATACATGTGGGCTTCTGCTTCTCAGTTAGGGTGATTAACCATCCTGGGGATCCCAGGACATGGGACTTTCAGTTCTAAAACCAAGACAAGTGGTAACCTTATTCTTAATGGAATGTCATCTCAAAAATACAGCCTGAAAGACTAAAATTGCAGTATCTTATCTAAGCATGATAATGATAATATTGATAGTTGATAAAAATTTTGTTACAAGCTTTTAGGAAGTATCAGTTTTATGGAGAGGCTTTGATTCTGATGGGAACTGAATTAAAATAGAATTGGGATTGTCTTGAAGGTGAGTAAATAAATTTTCACTTTCTCTAAGCTTTTCTATAGGAATCTATGCTATATTACATAATGTTGAAAATGGGTACACCGTTTAAGAGCCAAGTACTCTGGTTATAAAACCAGTAAGTTCGTATTTTTCCAGCTAAGATGATTGCCTGATTGTTTTATTAACAATACAGCAATCCAGCCTTCAGTATATCTTCTTACATGAATGTGTACATCTTATTGAAAAAAAATTTTTTTTTTCGAGGCAGAGTCTTGCTTCTTTCAGGCTAGAGTACAATGGTGCAAACTCAGCTCACTGCAACCTCTACCTCCCAGGTTCGAGCAATTCTTCTGCCTCAGCCTCCCAAGTAGCTGGGATTACAGGCATGTGCCAGCACACCCAGCTAATTTTTTTTGTATTTTTAGTAGAGGCGGGGTTTTGCCGCGTTGGCCAAGCTGGTCCTGAACTCCTGACCTCAAGTGATTCGCCCACCTCAGCCTCCCAAAGTGCCAGATTACAGCTGTGAGCCACCACGCCTGGTGAATTTTTTTTTTTTGGCAGAAACTTTTTTTTTTTTAAAGGCACTCTGTCCCCCAGGCTGGTGTGCAGCAGCATAATCTGGGCTCACTTCAACCTCCGCCTCCTGGATTCAAGTGATTTTTCTGCCTCAGCCTTCCAAGTAGCTGAGATCACAGGCATGCACCATCACGTCTGGCTAATTTTTGTATATTTAGTAGAGATGGGATTTCACCATGTTGGCTAGGCTGGTCTTCAACTCCTGATCTCAGGTGATACACCTGCCTTGGCCTTCCAAAGTGTTGGGATTATAGGTGTGAGCCACCATGTCCAGGCTGTTTATTTTTTAATAACTTGGTTTAAAATGGAGAATGAATAAAAAACGTTTACTTTCATCACCAGCCTTTTTTTTTTTTTTTTTTTTTTTTTGGGAGACAGAGCCTTTCTGTCGCCAGGCTGGAGTGCAGTGGTGCAATCTCAGCTCACTGAAATCTCCACCTCCCGGGTTCAAGTGATTCTCCTACTTCAGCACTCTGAGTAGCTGGGACTACAGGCATGCACTACCACACCTGGCTAATTTTTGTATTTTTAGTAGAGACAGGGTTTCACCATGTTGGCCAGGATGGTCTCAATCTCTTGACCTTGTGATCCGCCGGTCTCAGCCTCCCAAAGTGCTGGGATTATAGGCATGAGCCACCGCACTCTGCCTGTCACCAGTATTTTTTTATGTAGTTAAAACTTGAGTTATAATTGTGTGCTCAGTTTAGTGCAGGTAATACTTACAGGGATTCCGTATTACTATTTTGTTTTTTTCCCTGCTGAACAGTGTTGTTGTGTAGTAATACTAAAACTCATTTTGGCTCCTAAAATTTTTACATTATTCTTATATTCTGTAAATCATAGACTCATAGTTACTCACTAGAGGTGTTAATTATTAATACTGTTTCATGTGTAGGTGCTATGGTCTAAATGTTGGTATCCCCTGAGAATTCATATATGGGAACCCAACTACCCAATATGTTAGTATTAAGAGGTTGGGCCATTAGGAAGCTACTAAGTCACGAGGGCTCTTCTGTCATGAATGAGATGAGTGCCCTTTTGTTGTGTGAGGACACCGTAATAAAGTGCCATCATTTTTTTTTTTTTTTTTTTTTTTTTGAGATGGAATTTTGCTCTGTCACCCAGGCTGGAATGTAGTGGCGCCATCTCCGCTTACTGCAACCTCAGCCTCTCAACCTCCCAGGTTCAAGTAATTCTTCTGCCTCCCAAGTAGCTGGGACTACAGGCGTGCCACCACATCTGGCTGATTTTTTTATTTTTAGTAGAGACGAGGTTTCATCATATTGGCAAGGCTGGTTTCAAACTCCTGACCTTGTGATCCGCCTGCCTCAGCCTCCCAAATTGCTGGGATTATAGGTGTGAGCCAATGCACCCGGCCGGTGCCTTCTTTTTTTAAGATGGGGTTTTCCTGCGTTGCCCAGACTGGTCTCGAACTCCTGGGCTCAAGGGGTCTTCCCACCTCAGCCTCCCAAAGTGCTGGGATTACAGGTGTGAGCCACCACACCTAGCCTAAGGTGCCATTTTTGGGGCAAGCCCTGGTCAGACATTGAATCTGCTGGTGCCTTGACGCTGGACTTCCCAGTCTCCAGAACTATAAGAAGTAAAACTTCTGTTGTTTATAAATTATACAGACTAAGGTATTTTGTTATAGTAGTCTGAACAGACAGAGATAGAAGGTTATCTCCAGATAGATTTTTCTTGTGTAAGCAAACAAAATTAAGCATATTTTATGAGATATGGGAAAAATTTTTCCAAAACTGTTGAATAGATATTTAAAAATAAAAGTTCTGGTCGGGCATGGTGGCTCATGCCTGTAATCCCAACACTTTAGGAGACTGAGATAGGTGGATCACAAGGTCAGGAGTTTGAGACCAGCCTGACCAAAAAGTACAAAAATTAGCCAGGTGTGGTGGCACGTTCTGTAATCCCAGTTACCTGGGAGGCTCCGGCAGGAGAATCACTTGAACCCAGGAGGTGGAGGTTGCTGTAAGCTGAGATCGTACCACTGTCCTCCAGACTGGGTGACAGACTGAGACTCTGTCTCAAAAGAAAAAAAAAAAAAAAGTTCTTTTGACCAGAATCCTCCATTTGCTTTTCTCCTGGCAAACATATCAATCTTAGTTGTCATTTTAAATTGTGCCTATAACTTTTGCTGCTTTACCATATACTTTATGTGAAAGTTTGGGTTCCCTCCTCCTCTGCTTCAGAGAACCACCCTTCTTCTCTTGAACAACAGTACTTTCTTAAGTAATAAACAGACACACATAAACACACATACGAATCCACTTCAGAGTCTTAGGATACTGAAGAATATGACCTTGAGGTCCCTCTATCCTGTGGGTCCAAAATGACAGTCTGGGTATGTCACTGTTTCTTTCTCCTTATGGCTTAATGGTGTGGAATTTCATTTTACATTATAGCTGACATTTTTTATTTTGTTTGGAACAGGAAGAGCAAGATCTGGATCAACAGGGAAATGAGGTACGATTTTATGTTGGGGTTCCTACTGTAACACTGCGATTATACCTGGTTCCCAGAATGTTTGAAACACAACTCCCAAAAACTTAAAAACCTAAGACAAGACTGTAGGCTATGAAGTCAATCTTTTGGGGTCTTAATCCCAACTCTGCTATATGTAACTGTGTAAACTTGGAACACTATTCTTTGTGCCTCAGTTTCCTTATCTGAAGAATGGGGATAATGTCCCTACCCAGGAGAGGGTTGTTTTGATAACTAACATATGTAAAGGGCATTTAGAAAAGTTTATGACACATAGCAAACACTCAAATATCAAGTATAGTTCAGCACCAAGCGTTGTCCTAAATCTAAGTTTACTCATATTGTTAAATAAATGGGGGCAATCTCACAGGCAGCACAGCAAATAAGAACTCTAAGATGCCCTGGGATTTCTCCTTAACAATGGGTAAGAGAGAAAGCCCAGGGTTTCTCAACTTCGGTACTATTAATGTTTGGGGTTGGTTAATTCTTTGTTGTGGGGTCTGTCCCTTTCATTATAAAATGGTTAGTGACATCCTTGGCCTTTACCCACTAGATGCCAGTGCAGCCCCTACCTCTTCCTTCTCATCCCTCATCATGTCAATCAAAACTATCTGCAGACATTGGGCAATGTCTTCTGAGGGGCGGAATCCTCCCAGGTCAACAAGCAGTGGTGTAGCCATACAGTAATAATGATATATTACTGTATCATTTTAATCCATAGTTTTCTGCAACACAGGTAATATCCAACATTTTCCCTTTTTTTTTTTTTTTTTTTTTGAGACAGGGTCTCTGTCACCCAGGGTGGTGTCACCCAGGGCAGTGGCAGGATCATGGCCCTCCACAGCCTCTACCTCCTGGGCTCAAGTGATCCTCCTACCTCCGCCTCCCGAGTAGCTGGGACTACAGGCACCCACCACTGTGCCCAGCCAACTTGTGTATTTTTTGTAGAGACAGGTTCCTCCATGTTCCCCAGGCTGGTCTTGAACTTCTAGGCTCAAGCGATGCACTGCCTCAGACTTCCAGTGTTAGGATTACAGGCATGAGCCACTGATCCTGGGCCGCCTTTCTCTTAAATGTAACTATAGGTGGTGTTTTGAAAATTATTCTCATTACTTACTATCTTAGGCAAAAATTAAGCAGTAAAGAATATATTTAAACATTGGTCTTCAATTGTTTGGAACTACAAAGCAGAGTTTAAGTACTGCTGTTCCAACTTAGATGGTATGTGTATCAGAAAAAAGTAAATATGTTGAGATATTAATTTAGCAGTGTTTTAGCATTTTTTAAGAGTGGTATAAACTGCTTTTGTAATTGTTTTTATTTGCCTTTTATAGGAAAACCTGTTTGATTCTTTGACAGGCCAGCCACATCCTGAAGATGTACTGTTGTTTGCCATTCCAATATGTGCCCCTTACACCACCATGACAAACTACAAGTATGTTACCATTAGTTGACAGAATGGCTTTCATGAATTGTTTTGTAATGTTTATTTAGTAACACATATATTTCCTTTTTAAAGATATAAAGTGAAACTTACTCCTGGAGTGCAGAAAAAGGGAAAAGGTATTTAAATTTTTTTTTGAATTATGATTTTAAAAACAGTTCAGTGACTTAACAGAATTAGATTATTCTTACTCTTTTTTGTATTTACAGCTGCAAAAACAGCCTTGAATAGTTTCATGCATTTCAAAGAAGCAACAGCAAGAGAAAAAGACTTATTCCGCAGCGTAAAGGTAAAGTTCTCCTTCAGAAAAGGAAAATGGAGACTGACAGTAAAATTTAAAATGTTAGCAGTTTTTATTATTAGAAAATGCTGTCTTATTAGCAGTAAAATCATTTCAGCTAAAAATTTGGAAATGTTTTTATTTTTTATCATAAAAGAAACATGATTGACCCTATAGGATGTGAAGATATTCAGCAATTTTCTTTTTTTAGGACACAGATTTATCAAGAAACATTCCTGGCAAAGTGAAAGTGTCTGCACCCAATCTTCTGAATGTAAAAAGGAAATAGCTGAAATGAAATTCTAAAAATATTTGAGAAGACCCAATTTTATAGCCTTTTGGAAGTTCAAAGATGAAAACACCATGTTACAGGACTCAGCATTATAAAAATGAACTAAACATTGCCTTGCTATATATATTCACCAAAAGGACTTAATTCTTTTTTTTCCCCCCCCAGTTTTATATAGAGGAAACACTGTCTAAGATAGGATTTCCTAAACTATTTGTGGACAGTTAAATGCTAATTATATGCATCTGTCGTTATTCTACATTTTCTTGAAGTTTGGAGGTTAATATTGTGTTCTTTTCATAGTGTAAAGAAACTGAACAGTGAAGTGGCTTGATTGCTTAAACTACTGACTTGTTAAGTCTACTGTATGTAATAGCTAATATATATATTACAGTCCAGCCACAAGGGATTTTTTTTTTTTTTGGTGCGGGGGAGGTTAAATATTTAGGATTGTGTCTTGAAAACTAAATATTGGAGTGGATTTTCTTCTGCTTTCACCTATACTTGTCAAACAATGTATTAGACCAAATGTAAAATACAAGTAGTAATTCTCATGACTCTCAGCTTAATAACTGCTAGATGGAACTGGTGTTAATCATTTCTGTTCATTTGTAGACCTTCAGGTTTGATCTTAATATCTTCCTTGTAGTCTCATTCAGTTCTGTACCATTGTAATTGCCACCTTTACTAATTAATTATCAATATAGCATGTTACAGAGTATCTTAACCTATACCAGAAGTGCATTTTAGGCTAACCACTAAAGACTCCAATGCATTTTTCCTCTGTCTCCTAACAGAATGGAGAATGAAGTTATCATTATTTCCATCCTTTCATGAGCTACAAAACTTTGGACGACACCTGCCTGTAGTGAGCATGACCACTTGTTCCAGTGCCTACACTGAAGCATTAAGGTCAAAGTACTAAATAGCTGTTGATCCCTCTATACTTTATTTTTCCAGCTTAGTCATAATGTGAATATTAATGTTTTAGAAAAAAAAAAACCAGAATCTTATTATATTTACAACCATTTAAAAATACCTATGTTTTTAAAAAATGACTTCATTTTTTTGATGATGGTAAGACTATTTAGTGTCATCATCCTTCTACAGATATATATCCTGAAGTTACCAAAAAGGAAACATAACCATTCTTTGGGGTAAAAAGCCCAACCATTACTTTTCTTTTACTTTATAATAGAGGACAGCTACTGGTGTTAAATACATTTATTGTAAACTTTAGACACAAAAATAGGTTCTCTAGGCCATTCACATGCACATTAAAACCAAAAGTTGCAAACTACAACAATGCATATAATTATACAAATGATGCCAACTCTGTGATGTTTACAGGATTGCTGTCCATGCAAGGTGATCAGAGGCATTATTTATGAAGCCTTAAGATCCAGAAGTGTTGTTACTACCAAACCTCTGATTAACACTGTTAAGTAAGTGTTTTGGAAGGCAGTTCCATGAGTTGGCTAACATTTCTTTAAAACAAATGACTGCTTCTAAACTTAGCCTAAAAAATGAACAAGGAAAGAGAAAAGTAATTTCACTTTACTGTTTAGAAGTACGTTCACTTGAAAAGCTACATAAAACATCCCTCTTTCTTAGATTTTCACAGGAACTGGTTGTAGCAGTGACGTTGCTACTTATTATTGCCCTTAAATAATCCATAAACCTGTTTTTTTCCTGAGAGTGGTAAGTATTAAACAGAATTTGAAATAATCTAAGTGCCAAGTACAAACTTACCGTACAAGAGATTTTGGTTGAACTGAAAATATTAGTATTTCATTACTGTGTGCCTGAAAAATAGATAGGAAGAACACATTTAAAAGCAAATGCTTTACAAGTAAGTTTCAGTAATAGTATGAAGTAGTATACTTACAGCTCTGTGATGGACAAGCAGGTTGTTGGCACATCCACCAAAAACAATTACTTCTCCTTCATCACTGGCACAAGCTGTGTGCCATAACCTGCATTTAAAACAAAAACTTGAGTTTGAAGTCACACAGTTGCTCATTTTATACTACTGAAGGGGGCTATGAAATAAAGACTTAGAGATCTTAAGGTAGTTCAGATCAAAACATCATGGTGAGAAGTAAAATCTTAAGTAGCGAAAGCAATCAATACCTCTATTTTATCTGGATATTATGATTTTTATCTCTGGTCAGTTCTCATTTATGCAGTGAGGAGTTTGAACTGAATGATGTGTTCTCTAGGTCTTTGTTAGCAATAAAAATCATACGGGAGCTGACTGGTATATGCCTTTTTCCATAGATAGGGCCAACTGGCCTTACACAGAACATCCGAGGGATGGTGAAAGCCCTGCTTCAGTAAACTATAAAGTCTCAGAAAGCCTGGTAGTTTTTTGGAGAGATCATTTAAAAATAAATAGTCTTATTGGTATGACTATACTTGGTTTAGAGGCTTGGGAAAAAACTGCAGGCTTTGAACATCATTTTGACTGTATCATTTCCTTTAGCATTTTGTTTGAGATTAACAAGAGAAACTCAACTATCAGTGTTTAATAAGCTCTTCTCTTTGGCTAAGATTTGCAGTAGCACTGTATAACAAAGATGAAGAAATGATTTGATCTCTTCATCTTTGTTATACAGTGCTACTGCAAAACAAGAACTGTCAATTAGATTTTCTCCCCCACACAGTTTTTTTTTTTTTTTTTCTTCTTCCCAGACAGTCTTGCTGTCATCCAGACTGAAGTGCAGTGGTGCAGTCTCAGCTCACTGCAACATCTACCCTCTGAATACCTGGGACTACAGGCACATGCTACCACATCTACCTAATTTTTCTATTTTTTGTAGAGATGGAGTTTTGCCATGTTGCTTAGGCTGGTCTGGAACTCCTGGGTTCAAGCAATCCGCCTGCTACAGCCTCCCAAAGTGCTGAGATTACAGGTGTAATCCTGTAATCCCACTGCACCTGGCCTCCCATGTGATTTTTAAAAATTTTACCCATTCCAGCCAGGCACAGTGGCTCACACCTGTAATCCCAGCACTTTGAGGCAAGTAGATCACGAGGTCAGGAGATCAAGACCATCCTGGCCAACACAGTGAAACCCCACCTCTAAAAATACAAAAATTAGCTGGGCATGGTGGTGCATACTTGTAATCCCAGCTACTTGGGAGGTTGGGGCAAGAGAAGTGTTTGAACCAGGGAGTCGGAGGTTGCAGTAAGCCGAGATTGTACCACTGCACTCCAGCCTGGCAACAGAAGGAGACTCCATCTCAAAAAAAAGAAAAATTTTTACCCATTCCAGCACCTCTGCTACACTCATTTTGAGACAGTTTTGTTCCTGTTGCCCGGGCTGGAGTGCAATGACACAATCTCAGCTTGCTGCAACCTCCACCTCCCTGGTTCAAGTGATTCTCCTGCCTCAGCCTTTCTAGTAGCTGGGTTACAGGCATACGCCACCACGCCCGGCTAAGTTTGTATTTTTATTAGCGAGACAGTTTCACCATGTTGGCCAGGCTGGTCTCAAACTCCTGACCTCAGGTGATCCGTCCGCCTCAGCCTCCCCAGTTGCTGGGATTACAAGTGTGAGCCACCATGCCTGCTGGCCAACCCTTATTTTTAATAACAAACTTAGATGCAGTTCAACTCATTGAAGTGAAAAGCTTGACTATACATTTTAACTATGTGTCAAACGAAGAAGCAAAAATAAAAATCCAGCCCTAGTCTTCATACACAGATGATGGAAAGGAGAGCATTTGAAACTAGGATAACATTGGTTTTCTCTTCTTTGAGAAGTATTTCAAACCTTAGTGAATGTTAAGATTTTTATAAATAAGAATGGTGGATATAATGCAGCAGAAATCTCAATTCTTACATCTTATACATATTCAGTATAAGAATTGCCTTTAAATACCTTGGTTTTTCAGCATATGGATGATTAAACTGTATCCATTCATTTTTACTGATGCAGTAAGTCCAGGCATCACCTGATTGAAGAAAAGAAAAAAGATCTATGAAATATGTTAGTCTGCCAATATGATAATGACATTTAAAAGTCACAGCTTTGGCAAGAAAGGAATAAATCAGATCATGAGTAGATACAGAGAGTGTATGTTCTTTTTTCCCCCCTGCAATTAGCCAAGTAAGCCCTTTGCATGTTATAGCCCTTCAGCAGGGCTCTTAAATGCAGAAGTACGCCATATAGTACAATTACAGGTATGTTACAGGATCAAAATCAAACCTTCCAACCAACCCTATAAGCCCTCTCATAAGTCTCTAATAGACTCATTTTCAGCTATTATATATGGATGATATATGATGATTTGGTTATCATAGTTTTCAAGGACTTACTTAGTGGCTGTTTATCAGTGGTAAATCCTCCAAAGAGAAAAAGATGATCTGAAGAAACTGGTGTTAGTGAGTGCCAAGATCGGCCAACTGGGCATATGCCTTGTGGAATTCTGAAAATAATAGCTAAGTTACAATATCTGCATTTAGAAGCAGCTACTGTATTTTTCAGTTTTCCTTTAAAATTTCTATGTACGTGTTATGAAAAAGACTTCAAATTTATAAAGGCTTCTTGGTATAAACAACTACATGCTTTATACTGAAATACTTTCTTTGAAGAGTCAACATTAGACCTTTTCAACAACTGAGCACATGCTATGTACAAGGCACATAGTTATAAGAACTGGAAACATAAAAATAAAATTCATTCCTTAAGGGCCTAGAAATCATGTTTATTTCAGTTACAGAAGAATTAAGCAACATTATTATATACCAATAGTAGGAAACATAAGGTAAAAACAATCTGAATTTTGGATAAACTTATCTAAAGTGATACCTACAATTCATTCCACTCCCATGTATCCAGATTAAGATAGTGAAGATCATTCATTCTAGCATCCTAAAAAAGGAAAATTAAGTTATCATTTTGAAGAACTCAAAAGCAAATCATTAAGCTCTTTAAATACTTACTCGGTATCTGCCTCCAAACACAAAGCCTTTGTTTCCGATAGTTGCGCAGGCATGGGCAGCACGAGGTGAAGGTGCTTTACCCTATTAAAGAGTCACATAAGCAAGTTAGTATGTAAGTGAACTTTTTATTAAAAACAGAGGGAAAATACCAGAGTCTCCTTTGGATATGGGATAAGAATATGTAAGGCACTTGAGCTTTTAAAAGTTGGAATGTAGACTTCTAGACAACAACAGTATTCAAAGCTGATTATCAAAACTGGGCATTTAAATTTTAAGCTTTGAGATATGTTACTGAATAACACAAAGGCTACTTTATTTTTTCTTTTTTAAAATAAAGGCTGGCATATCAAATAATATGTGCCAGAGGGAAAATAAATCTAACATTTAAGTAATACAAATTGCAATCTAGTGCTGAGTTATTTAATTACAGGTTGAATATTTGTAATCTGAAAATCCAAAATCCGAAATGCTCCAAAATCTGAAAATTTGAGTGCCAACATGATGCTGAAAGGAAATGCTCATTGAAGCACTTCAGACCTTTGAATTAGAGATGTTGACTGTTAAGTATATCATGTAAATATTCCAAAATCTAAAAAAAATCTGAAATCTGAAACACTTCTACCACTTAAAATGTATTAGATAATAGATGCTGGGTTAGTCACTTCATACATTCATTAAACTTCTGAGTTCTAGGTTCCTTGGAAATCATGAAAATTATAGATCTTCTCGGCTGGGCGCAGTGGCTCACCCCTGTAATCCCAGCAATTTGGGAGGCTGAGGTGGGCAGATCACAAAGTCAAGAGATTGAACCATCCTGACATGGTGAAACCCTGTCTCTACTAAAAATACAAAAATTATCTGGGCGTGGTGCTGTGCCTGTAGTCCCAGCTACCTGGGAGGCTGAGGCAGGAGAACTGCTTGAACCCGGGAGGCGGAGGTTGCAGTGAGCCGAGATCACAACACTGCACTCCAGCCTGGCGACAGAATGAGACTCCATCTCAAAAAAAGAAAAGAAAAAAAGAGAAAAGGATCTTCTCTCCAGAAAACAAGAATGAACTGTCACTTTTATAGTATCTTCCAACTTGAGTCCACCCCCTCCCCCCATCCCTCTCCACCACCTCTAAGTATCCTTGCTTTAACAACTCACAGTAGTTAGAGGCTGGCTCCAGGTAAAAGTTTCAGTATCTAAAATATGTACATGATCATTCCATCCTCTTGGATGACTGGAATTCTACCAAAAATAAAAATCTGAGTTATTTTACAAATCACGTTTATAAAATTAGATAGCCCGCCAGATTACCAAAGAAAAACACACAAAACTTATTAGCAAACATAAAATGTGTTGTTTCAACTACTAAGGAGGCTATATGCAAATATGAAACTTTACTTACCCAAAAAGATGTTTCATCAAATTCAAAAGTTCCCAATACTTTATCTTCTGGCAAATATCCATACCCTCCAAAAAATATTAACCTGTTTAATAAAAAACCAAGACACTAAAAATTCAAACATCCATAGGACAGGATACAAGCAACTTATCTTAGGTGCTATGTTAAATGCTTTCATGTATTAATTCAGTTAATTTTTATATGGGCCCTATGAGGTATGTTCTATGCAAATGATTACTGGCTAAGGACACTTGAATGGTAAACCATTTTACATATAAAAACCCAAACCTATAGTGCTGCCAACTCACTTGTTTTTATATACCCAGACACCAAGTTTGTCCTTTGATGATGGAGGAACTCCTTGGCAATCAATTCTTTCCCATTGTAACACTCTGTCTGTAGACCTTGAATCCAGCATGTAGAACTGTCAGAAGCAGTGATTTCAGTTAGATTTGGTTATGTGAAAGAAAATTCAAGTTTAGCATATAATTTTACTGTGAACTACTGAAATTTTGACGGCTGACTGGCTGCCAGACTGCTCAGAGTCCAGACTAGGATTTTGTGACTAAATGCCAATTTCCTAAGTCACTAAGCACACTGTTAGTTCAACTAATTTTTTTTTTTTTTTTAAGAGACAGGGTTTCTCTTGCCCAGGCTGTGGCACAATCATAGATTACTGTAACCTAAACTCCTGGGCTTAAGTGATCTTTCCACCTTAGCTTCCCAAGTAGATGGACTACAGGCTTGTACCACCATATCTGGCTAAGACAGCCATACATTTTGTTTTCCCATTTTATTTAGTTATTTTTTATTTCAATAGGTTTTTGGGGAACAGATGGTGTTTGGTTACATACATAAGTTCCTTCGTGGTGATTTCTGAGATTTTGGTGCACTCATCGCCCAAGCAGTGTACACTATACCCAATGTGTAGTCTTTTTTTCTTTTTTTTTTTTTTTTTTTTAAGTTGGAGTCTCACTGTTTCCCAGGCTGGAGTGCAGTGGTGCCATCTCTGCTCACTGCAACCTCCACCTCCCAAGTTCAAGCAGTTCTGCCTTAGCCTCCGAGTAGCTGGTATTACAGGTGTGTACCACCACACCTGGGTAATTTTTGTATTTTCAGCAGAGATGCGGTTTCATCATGTTGCTGAGGCTGGTCTTGAACTCTTGACCTCATGATCCACCCACCTCAACTTCCCAATGTGCTAGAATTACAGGCGTGAGCCACAGCACCCAGCTAATGTGTAGTCTTTTATCCTTCACCCACCTCCCACCCCTTTCCCTGAGTCCCCAAAGTCCACTGTATCGTTCTTAGGCCTTTGCAGCCTCATAGGTTAGCTCCCACTTATCAGTGAGAACATAAGATGTTTGGTTTTCCATTCCTGGGTTACTTCACTTAGAATAATGGTCTCCAATTTTATCCAGGTTGCTGCAAATGCCATTATTTTGTTCCTTTTTATGGCTGAGGAGTATTCCATGGTATATATACACACCACATTTTCTTTATCCACTTGTTGACTGGTGGGCATTTGGGCTGGTTCCACATTTTTTGCAATTGCAAAATTTTGCTGATAGCCTTTGTTTTTTTGGTAGAGACAACAATCTCACTCTGTCACTCAGGCTGAAATGCAGTGGTATGATCTCAGCTCACTGCAATTTCTGCCTCCTGGGTTCAAGCAATTCTTGTGCCCCAGCCACCAGAGTAGCTAGGATTACAGGCATGCATCAGCATGCGCAGCTAATTTTTGTATTTTTAGTAGAGACAGGAGTTTTGCCATGTTGGCCAGGCTGGTCTCAAACTCCTGATCTCAAGTGATGGGATTATAGGCATAAGCCACCACACCTGGCCCTGATATGAGGACTGTAGTTATTTAATTTATGGGTTTTAGGATGCTATTACCCAAAAAAATTAGGTCTAGTAATTTTACCTTTAAATTCAATTTAACAAATATATGTTTAGTGCCTATTTAACTCTATACTTAAAACATTAAATAGGCCAAGCACAGTGGCTCACACCTGTAATCTCAACGCTTTGGGGAGACTGAGGCGGGCAGATCACTTGAGGTCAGGAGTTCAAGACCAGCCTGGCCAACATGATGAACCCCCATCTCTACCAAAAATACAAAAAAAAAAAAATTAGCCAGACACTGTGGCACATGCCTGTAATCCCATCTACTCAGCAAGCTGAGGCAGGAAAATCACTTAAACCTGGGAGGCAGAGTTTGCAGTGAGCCAAGATTGCAGCACTGCATCCTGGGCAACAGAGTGAGACTCCGTTAAAAAAAAAAAAAAAAAGATGAAATGTGTTTGTCCTTCTTTCAAGGGGTTCACATCAGGCAACTGAATATATCTGACCACAATATATCTATTTTTCACTTCTGAGACACCTAAGCTTCCTTTCAGTCAAACTTGTAACACACAATCCTAGCCACCTGACATACAACTACCGTTTTTCTAACTACCCCAACAAAACCACAGCTTGTCTCCTTCCCCAAGCCTTTTCAAGTTGTGTCAGTTATTTTTCTCCTTCTTGGCTCTGCAATACATATGGCTCAATGATAGTCTATAGATGTGCCTCCACAGAATCTTTTAGGCATAAAACCCTTTCTTCAAACAAAATACTAAACAAAAGTCCAAAGGATAAAAACAAAAATGGAGCTACACTTGTTAAAAACAGAGAAGGGAGGGACAGGCTGGAGCCTACCTAACACCATAGGCTCCTCCCACAGGTGTTCCAAGGTATCTCAAATCCCTAGAGTTTCTAGGAACAGTTTGAAAGCATCTTAGCCACATGTTCCATCCACTTGTCATTTCCATAACTAAGACATTTGCTTATATCTCTATCTTGGCTACTCCTTCCAATTTTATTATTCAGTTCAAGCATCACCTCTTCAGTTAAGATTTTCCTTGTTCTGTTTCCTCATCCTACCAAACACAATGTCAAAGACTTTTTCAGATTCAACAATACTTACTGAGTTATTGTCTATATGCCAGGTGCTGTATCTCTCCAGCAGATGCTACTGCAGTGGTTTACCTACTATATGTGTCCTTTCTAGAATGTGAGTTCCTAGAGATGGGAACTGTATCATTCATCTGTTTCCAGTGTCCAACCAAGTTCTCAGCACAAAGTGCTTACTAAGTTGCCAACTTAGTCGACTCCTATCAATTCATTTATTTGGCAACTCAGTAAGCACTAATATATACCATATGTATCATTTTTGACTGACTTAATCTGTCACTTACTGGTCTGAAAAAGAAGAATTGTGGGCAAAGTCTGAATAGCAGTGTCTTTGGGCACCACTTCACAGGAATGTTAACAGGTAGTTTTGTCAGTTTTAATTTATCCTATAGCTTTCTGATTGGTTGCCTGCTCAGTTTTACCCTTCTCTCCATTACATCTTGTCTTCTTTTTGACTTTAATTTTATTACCAACGTTCATCTAACATTTAAGCATTCTAAGAGAACAAGTAGCTGCAAAAAGCACAAAGAAAAACCACCCAGGAAGTTACTGCACACAGGTTACCAACAAAAGTTGATTTTACATAATGCCTAGGCAAATACAGATTGGCACACAAAATACTAAAATGCACATTCATATCATAATCAAGTACACATCATTTTTAACTGAGACACAAATAAGTCTAGGGCTAACCTTAGAAATCTGCGGTTGTCTGAAAGATAATAATAAAAAGGCCTCAAACCATAATCCTTAGCAACACTAACCTTATTGGTATTGCCTCTTGAATGGTGTCCTCCAAACAAGTACAGCACCCTGTCTACACACACAGCACAGCTTCCTGACATAGAAGGAGGAACATCACCTTCAGTGTTGATTTTTTTCCTGAGGGGGAATTAAAGGTATATAAGTTTACCAAAGGGAAGAAATGCAAAACTATCAATTTTTCTTCTACTTATATCCTCTCAATAAAGGAATAAATTGGCCGGGCGCAGTGGCTCAAGCCTGTAATCCCAGCACTTTGGGAGGCCGAGGCGGGTGGATCACGAGGTCAAGAGATCGAGACCATCCTGGTCAACACGGTGAAACCCCGTCTCTACTAAAAATACAAAAAAAAAAATTAGCTGGGCATGGTGGCGCGTGCCTGTAATCCCAGCTACTCAGGAGGCTGAGGCAGGAGAATTGCCTAAACCCAGGAGGCGGAGGTTGCCGTGAGCCGAGATCGCGCCATTGCACTCCAGCCTGGGTAACGAGAGCGAAACTCCGTCCCAAAATAAATAAATAAATAAATAATAAAGGAATAAATTAAGAAGGCAGAGTAGACAATGCCTCTAGGGTCTCTTTTAAGTCAAATTAATTCAAGGAATGTGCTTTTCCCTCTTTATCCATTCCACAGGCAGTGCCAGCTGGTCCCATGTGTACAGGCTAATGAGAGATTCTAAAAGTCTAAGTGTCATTTTATTATTCTAGGAACATACCATTTTATATTTCTTTATTTACATGGCCATAAGTTGTTTTGTTTTTGAGTGCGCCAGGAGCCCAGAAAGAAAATCTCAACATTCCCAGTCCTGATAGATTAATTCAGTAAGTGTCTTTTCTTCAGTCACCTTTTAGCCATTCATATGTATCATTCAAGTCCTTTATGTAACACTGAAAACAGGTAATGCCATGTGCGAGGCATTCCTGAGTGCTTTGTGTGTATTAACTCATTCTGAATCTAAAAATGGATCTGAATCAAAACATCTAAGGAATCTAAGATTTAAAATTCTAAAAGTATACTCCAGATCTTCTGCTAAAACTGCCAGATATAATATTACTTTATCTTTGCTAAACTTAAAGTTTTAGAAGGCTCATTTAAAAAAAAAAATTTAAAATAGAAACAGGGTCTCACTGTGTTCCTCAGGCTGCTCTTGAACTCCTAGACTCGGCCTTCCAAAGTGCTAGGATTACAGATGTGAGCCACCATACCTGGCCTTAAAAATTATTTTTTAAAATATGTAAATTCTCAGAGAATACAATTATAAACGTCCAATTCTCTAGAAAAAGCTGTTTCTGAGTAAGAAATGGCTTCATATTAACACTAATTTGTTACATACAGAAATCACGACATTTTTAGCTTAGCTCTTAAATTTTTTTCTTTTGAGAAGTTTTGCTCTTGTTGTCCAAGTTGGATTGCAATGGTGTGATCTCGGCTCACCGCAACCCTCCACCTCTTGGGTTCAAGCAATTCTCTTGCCTCAGCCTCCCAAGTAGTTGGGATTACAGGAGTGTACCACCACACCTGGCTAATTTTGTATTTTTAATACAGATGGGGTTTCTCCATGTTGGTCAGGCTGGTCTCGAACTCCCAACCTCAGATGATCCACCTGCCTCAGCCTCCCAAAGTGCTGGGATTACGGGTGTGAGCCACCACACCCAGCCAAAAAAATTTTTTTTGCCTTTTTTTTTTTTTTTTTTGAGGCAGAGTCTCACTGTATCACCCAGGCTTAGAGTGCAATGGCATGATCTCGGTTCACTGGATCCTCTGCCTCCCGGGTTCAAGTGATTCTCCTGAGCCTCAGCCTCCCGAGTAGCTGGGCTTACAGGCACATACCATCATGCTTGGCTAATCTTTGTATTGTTGGAGAGACAGAGTTTCACCATGTTGGCCAGGCTGGTCTTGAATTCCTGACCTAAGGTGATCCACCCACCTCAGCCTCCCAAAGTGTTGAGATTACAGGCATGAGCCACTGCCTCTGGCCTAACTCTTAAGTAAGACTATTATGCTAATTCTGAGATCTAGAATAAATAAAATATTTAAAGCACAAAATTCTCAGAAAGCACACCATGGGGAAAACTACTATGTAAATCCCCAACCATGGCTAACCCAGCATTTTGAGAAACAAATTAATTCTACCAGGGACGTGCTCTTGACTACTACTATCATGAAACTGGCAAAAGATCATTTCAGACTATCTCCAGTTTATATAAAGGACAAATTGGAAGTCCTTTTGGTTTTTAAACAGAACAGACTACTTTTAAAAAGATTTGCATGCAAATTTTGAGAGGCCATTAAAATATAATTTTTTTTTATAGAATTCTAATCTATCTAAACTCTAACAATTCTATTCTAACCATTTAAAATCCTTTGTTTATTCAAGATACAACAGAAAACTTAACATCTTGTTAAAAAAAAAAAAACAAAACATTTATTACTTTTCCATTCTAGATTCTGAAGCCTCTACATCTATTTTAAATATTACTATACTTTATAGGGCCCTGAATAGAAATTTATTCTAAGTTCATAAAAGTATCTAGTAACTACAGAACTACTCTAAAACAAATGCTAAATTAAGCTTAGCAGCTAAACTAAAGTAGCAGAAGAGTGTTTTTAGAATATGTAGATAGCTTAGAATGGGTTTTACATATTTTTCTTTGCAACCATATCTGAATTATTTTTTTTTTTTTTTTTTTAAAGGGACGGAGTTTCACTCGTTGCCTGGGCTGGAGTGCAATGCACAATCTCTGCTCACCACAACCTCTGCCTCCCAAGTAGCTGGGATTACAGGCATGCACCACTACACTCAGCCAGTTTTGTATTTCTAGTAGAGATGGGGTTTCTCCATGTTGGTCAGGCTGGTCTTAAACTCAACCTCGGGTGATTCCCCCCACCTTGGCCTCCCCAATTTTATTTTTTTTTTTTTTAGGATACAGAGTTTCACTCTGTCACCCAGGCTAGAGTGCAGTGGCACAATCTGTGGTCACTGCAACCTCCGCCTCCCAGGTTCAAGCGATTCTCCCACCTCAGCCTCCTGAGTAGCTGGAGTTACAGGTGTGTGCCACCACACCCACCTAATTTTTGTATTTTTAGTAGAGATGGGGTTTCACCATGTTGCCCAGGCTGGTGTTGAACTCCTGACCTCAAATGATCCGCCTGCCTGGGCCTCCCAAAGTGCTGGGATTATAGGTATGAGCCAGCCACTGTGCCCAGCCCGCGTGAATTTTTTAGTCCCCCTCATAAATAATATCCATATTTACCATCTTCCAGTCTCCATGTTGTAGATCCATAGTTCTTCTCTAGGCAGATAGAAGTCATACAATCCTCTGACTTGATTACTCTAAGGATAAAAAAAATTTGTAAATATAAAAACATTTTAAAGAGGCACTACTGTATTTTTTTCAAATTGATCTTGAGATACTAATTATGAAATTACTGGTGATAAAAAGTTAAATAGGTCTTATAGTGCACAATCCTCCCCTACCCATGCCACACACTCAAGGTAAAGCTCAATACAGACAGATTTTTTATTTTTGAGATAGAGTTTCACTCTTGTTGCCCAGGCTGGAGTGCAATGGTACGATCTCGGCTCACCACAACCTCCACCTCCCGGTTCAAGCGATTCTCCTGCCTCAGCCTCCTGAACAGCCAGGATCACGGGCGTGCGCCACCAGGCTGGCTAATTTTTGTATTTTTAGTAGAGACGGGGTTTCCCCACGTTAGTCACTCAAACTCCTGACCTCAGGTGATCCACCCACCCTGGCCTCCCAAAGTGTTGGGATTACAGGTGTGAGCCACCAAGCCCAGCTTGACAGCTCTTAATTCAGAATTTTGATACAGCAGTTTCCTTAGTCCAAGTGTAGCTCAGGCTGGAGTGAGCTCACTGCAGCCTCCACCTCCTGGGTTCAAGCAATTCTCGTGCCTCAGCCTCCTGAGTAGCTGGGATTACAGGCACTCGCCATCACACCTGGCTAATTTTTGTATTTTTTAGTAGATAGGGGGTTTCACCGTGTTGGCCAGACTGGTCTCAAACTCCTGGCCTCAAGCAATCCGCCTGCCTCAGCCTCCCAAAGTGCTGGTATTACAGGCTGTAAGCCATTGTGCCCAGCCAACAGATCTCTGGGAACTAAGGCCACTTTATCCTCAACAGAACCATGCACCAAATTTCAGCTGCATGACTGCAGGAAAGATTACCTGTGCCATAGCCAGCAGGCTACTACTCAAAGTGCCTGACCCACACTAACATGATGCATGGTTTTCTAGCCAAGCTATCCTTTCACCTATTCTCTAAGCAGCAGCAGAGAGGGCAGAACTGCAAATATACAAATATTAAATCCTTATGTAGAATTTTAGGTTCTTTGTTCGGCTCCATTTCCCTTCGGGTATTAATTCCTAACACATAAACTGAGACTACCATATGTCAGAGGTGACAGCTATCCATGAATTGCTTTATTTAATCCTCACAATCACCCTAAAAAGTAGCTGATGTTGTGAGAAAGAGTTCTTTAGAGTTTAAGTAATTTGCCCAAGGTTATTTATGAAGTAATGGTGGAGGCAGGATTCCATCCTTTCCCTGAACTTTAACAACTGCCTGACAGTCCCAGCCTTTGACCCTCTCTGCCCACTTTCTGAACAGTGTTGACATACAGTAAACAACTGCGGTTCACGGAAAATGGGCGTCAAAGTCCAGTAAGCTTGAATATTGCACATACAGAAACCGAACAGTTGGCCACCCAAACATTTCTCCTTCCACTCCACCAATGATGAAGGGAATGGCTGGAAACGGGCTGACCCAGAAGTGACCAGCCTATTCTGCGGAGGAAAACTACCTACTATGTAGGGAGCCAAAGTTTACTGCCTTTGCAACAATCTCCAAGGACTTCTGTGCCTACTCTTCAGGGTTCCAGCCACCAGCCATAAATGGGGAGGGCAGTCTGTTTTAGAACCATCCAATTCAGTGATTATGCTGCTTCTCCCTGAATCTGCCCCAATCCACCATAAGAAATATTCCACACAGAGAATCCTCCCCGCCCCACTCCCAAAGTCTCATTTTCTCAATGCTGTAATTTAAAAAATACAATTATGAATTAGGTAGCTTAGACCAAATTGTGATTGACAGGTTTCTGTTCTCCTGGGGAATTAATGTACATTTTTATAAGGGTGACTACATGCTCACGCCTCCCACCCCCAATTTCTGAAATTCTCTACCCCTTTCTAAAGTATTTTTGAGAGGGAGCTTCGTTCTTGTTGCCCCAGGCTGGAGTGCAATGGCACCGTCTCTGCTCACTGCAATGTCCACCTCGTGGGATTCAAGCGATTGTCCTGCCTCAGCCTCCCAAGTAGCCGGGATTAAGAGTGCCCACTACCACGCCCGGCTAACTATTTTTTTTTTTTTTTTTTTTTTTTTGGTATTTTTAGTACAGACGGAGTTTCACCATGTTGGCCAGGCTGGTCTCGAACTGCTGACCTCAGGTGATCCACCGGCCTTGGCCTCCGAAAGTGCTAGGATAACAGGCGTTAGACACTGCGCCCGGCCTCCTTTCTATTTTCTAACCACATTCATTGGAGACTGGGGAAAACACTGCAGATGAATTAGGATTGGCAAAAATTACTTTTGCAGTTAAACCAAATTAAAGTATCAGGACATCTATTTTTGAAAGCTAGCTCAGAAAAGGTCAGCCACGGTCAAGTCAACTGTACCATAAGCTAAAAACAGTCACAAAGCAAGTCATCCAAGGCACAGGCGTGGGGAGGGAGGAGAACATTTTCAAGACCAAAGAGGAATAAAATTATTTTGTGGTAGGACTGGATCGGAGCCATCCCAGCAAATAAAACTCTAGACTTCCAAGAGAGCAGAGTAAAGAAAGGCAACTGGCTTTAAACCACCAACTAATCACGTTGTTTATATCTGGGGGATCAGAGTCAAAGGATACCGGTGGAGCTTTTCCATCAATTATCTTAATAGGGGTGTCTGCTGAAAAACTTCAACCCAGCTGAAGCCAGAAGGAAAATAGTCCTGAGAGGTTCAAACAATAGTATGATGGCCATTTGCACAGGCGGCAAGGTTAAATAAGGTGATTCCTGCACCCCGTAAGTGGGCAGCGGTTCCCAGCCCCAGAGGATAAAGTCCTCTAGGCCGTCCTGATAACGCGTCTGAGTGACATCACACGCCGTCACCTTACACACTCCAACCCTTCCGAATAATGCACCGCCCAAACAACATTAACAGGACCTTCCCCAGAATAACGCTCCAATGGCAACAACAGGGGTGGGAGTGAGTTGGCTTTGTGAGCACCAGGTTGACGTGAAAGCAGCCCTGGAGACTCGAGATTGGTTGAGGGACTCCAGAGAAGGAAGATTCCCGCGCGCAAGAAAAACCAACCAACGGGCAGACGCTGAGGTGGGGCGCGCGGCGGAGGCGGGGAGCGCCCTCGGCGGCCCGCTCTGGCCTCCCCGCCTGGCCGCGGACCCGGACCCGAGTCACAGCCGAGCGACGTCCGCCGCGGCCCGCCCACCCACTGACCTTGTAGCCGCCCCAGACGAACATGTGGCGCCCGTCGCTGACGGCTACGTGGCCGCTGCGCTCGGCGGGGCAGGCGAGCTCCATGGACTCATAGCTCTCGAAGGCCGGCCCCGGCAAGTCGTCCGGCCGCAGATCCTCGTTGCCATCAGCCATCTTGAGGCTGCACTTTGCTAACCAAGAATGCCCTCACCCGAGAGGGGCCAAAGAAACAAAGGAAAAGTAGAGAAAAGCACAGCGGCGCGAGGCAAGAAGAGGGCGGCGGCAAAAGGGACGGCGTGGAAGCCTCCCTGCAGCCGGCGTTCGCGTTTCCCAGCCTCCTCGGCTGAGGACGGCTCTCCGCCGCCGGGACACGCCTGCAGAGTGGCCACGAGCGGAGCCGGGCCCGAGACGCGGAGCACCGCAGGGAACGGGTCCGCGTCGGACCGGCTCCCTCTCGCAGCCCGTCCGCCCCGCCTCCAACAGCCCACGGCCTTGTTTACGCGGCGGCCGGAAGCCGCGGTTCCGCTTGACGACGCCCGCCGGGCTCCGGAAGCGAGGACGCCGCTCAGCGCCCCCAGCGCCGGGTCCTCCAGCCGCCGCCGCCGCCGCCACCTATGGCCTGGGCACTGCACCTCTGTGGGGCCAGGCGGCTTCCAGTAGCCCTTCGAGTCTTTTTTCGCCGAGGGAACCACAGAGATAATGCCCTGAATCGCTCCCTGAAAGCTGCTAAATTTTAGCCAAATTGCCGCAAAATTTTTCTTTCTTCCCAAGAATTCCTATTCGTTTGATTGAGGGATGATCTCAGAGGGCGCACAGCCCTGATGGGGCACCGGAATTGCCCCACTAGGCAAGTTTCTGGTCTCGCCTTAGAGTGGAAGCAGGCCCTGCTGTCCTGCGGGTGCGAGGGCCGAAGCTCTGCTCTCCCGCGGGGCCCAGCCCGCTCCCCGCGGCCTCCCCCGAGCTCCCGCCAACCCCGCCTGGCGCCGCCTCCGCAAGGAACTGACGTTACCGCAGCCGCCGCCGCCAGCCGAGCTGCAGAGTTGGCTTGAAAAGCGTTTCCGAAGCTACCACCACGCTTTTCTTCAGAGAGGAAGGCAGATCCCTTTCACGCACACACAGCTTTCTCTTATTTTCTATGATACCTTTCAGTTGGGCCAAAAGAAAATTACGAGTAGCTGTAACCTCACCTCGATACCTCACCTGTAAAAATAGGGTGGGACAAAAATACATCTTAATTTCCTGATCTCACAGTGCCTCTAGAATTTATCCTGTTTGGTGGGAGGGGCGTGCTTCATTATCCTCCATTTCCCTCATCTTCTGGTTGGGAGCACCCTGTAGCAAAGGAATACTTTGAACAATAAAGGCTTTTTAAAAAATATATTAAAATGTTTATATTTTAATAAACATTTAAAAAGTTCCTAGTTGGAACTTCCTTCGGGAAACCTTCATGTCTCAATTTAGTTGGAACTTCCTTGGGGAAACCTTTCTGGATCTCTCAGGCTATTTTTAGGTTTCCTGTTAGATGCTGTTAGCATCCTCGGTACTTCTCCATACCACTTCTTAAGACCATCATGTAATTACTGTCTATTGTTAGTTTCCCCTGTTGGATTCTAAGCTTGAAGTATGAGCTTAACTTGGGTGGCCTCTTGCTGCAAGTTGCAAAACTACCTTCTGTCAAACTACCTTTTCCTGTGAATACAGCTAATCAGCTAACACGTTCACCTTAATTATCGGGTGAATCTAGGATGAACTGTGTGTGACAAACCGTGTTGTCAAGTCCTCTTACTGAAGGACTAGTTATTGTTTATCTTGAGAGCATGTATATAATGTGTTGTATCTGCTTGGCTATATGAAAAGGTGAGATTTCTTTGTCCTTGCAATTTCCTAGTAGATTGCCTGTGATGCTCATCACATTCTGGTTTAATGCTTATTCAACGAATCAAACCGCTTTCTCTACTACCTTTGTGGAGATGTTTTCTGGGTTGGGAAAATATTTTGTTTTTAATTTTATTTCCCCAACAGAGGCACACAAAAAATATTTGTCACAGGTATGAGCGGGTTGCCATGGTAATGGAAGAGCTTACTGTGGGGATCAGGAATAGACCGAGGAATGTATTCTAATATCACACTTACAAAATCCTTATAAAAGAGTCTCTCTTTGAATCAGATCATTGCTTGACTCCTGTGGCGTTTCAAATATAATCACTAACATCTAAGTTTCTACCCATTACATTCTATCCTTAGAACCATAAGGGGCCACGGCTTGTAGGGGACTAAATCTAGTACCATAAATATTTCTGGATGCATTAATCAATACATCTTTACCTAGAGCCAAAGATATATGTTGAATATGTATATATTTCTTTTCCTTTTTTTTGAGATGGAGTCTTGCTCTGTTGCCCAGGCTGGAGAGCAGTGACACAGCTCACTGCAACCTCTGCCTCCCGGGTTCAAGCGATTCTCCTGCCTCAGCTTCCTGAGTAGCTGGGACTACAGGCATGTGCCACCATGCCCAGCTAATTTTTGTATTTCTAGTAGAGATGGGGTTTTGCCATGTTGGCCAGAATGGTCTCAGTCTCTTGACCTCAGCCTCCCAAAGTGCTGGGATTACAGGTGTAAGCCACTTCGCCTGGCCTATATTTCATATATATATATATGCCATTTAATAAAACTATAGTAGCCACTTTGACTTACTATTTATATTTCAAACCATATTTTGTCCTACTTAGAACAGTAACAACAAAAATCGTCTCTGAAACAGATTTTTTTTTTTTTGAAATGGAGTTTTGCTCTTGTCGCCCAGGCTGGCGTTCAATGGCACAATCTCGGCTCACCACAACCTCCACCTCCCAGGTTCAAGTGATTCTCCTGCTTCAGCCTTCTGAGTAGCTGGGATTACAGGTGTGCGCCACAGCACCTGAGGAATTTTGAATTTTTAGTAGAGATGGGGTTTCTCCATGTTGGTCAGGCTGGTCTCGAACTCCCGACCTTAGGTGATCCACCCACCTAGGCATCCCAAAGTGATGGGATTACAGGGGTGAGCCACCGCACCTGGCCGGGTCTCTGAAACAGATTAATTGGTTGTACTATAAACAGAATTTCTCAATGTATAAAACTATGGTTGCAGGCCCCTTGGGTACCTGCAGACCTTTTCAGGGGCTCCTTAAAGAACTTTCTTTGCTAACTAGTATCTGTGTGAGGCCAGATTTTCTTCACATAAATCAGCCCGTTGTGGTGTCTCATGCCTGCAATCCCAGCACTTTGGGAGGCCAAGGTGGGCGGATCACTTGAGGTGAGGAGTTCGAGACCAGCCTGATCAACATGGTGGAACCCCGTCTCTACTTAAAAAATACAAAAATTAGCAGGGCGTGGTGGCATGCACCTGTAATCCCACCTGCTCGGGAGGCTGAGGCAGGAGAATTGCTTGAACCTGGGAGGCGGAAGTTGCAGTGAGTTGAGATCACGCCACTGCACTCCAGCCTGGGTGACAGAGTGAGACTCCGCCTCAAAAAATATATATATTGCTGAAAAAAATGCTCTTGTAGGACTTCCATTT